ATATATATCTATAACGCTAGGTTAAAGTCCTTAATATTTAGGGTCACTTTTATTTATATATTAATATCAAATCTCCATATGCTAGTATAGAATTTATTCTTTAAATTCTTAATATAATTAATATTAATATCTTAATTGCATTCTATGTCTTTCTAAGATATTTTAAGCTTTCTTATATCTATATATAATATTCTTAGATATTTATTCTTAAGCTCTGCGCAGATTATATTATCTCTTATTATTAAAAAGACTCTAGCCTTAGCTATATAGGCCTTTAGCCTATATAGCATATTAATTTAAATAGGCTTAAAATCTAAATAGGGTTCTATAGAATTACTGTAATTATAAGCTTTAAGTCTCTTTTATTAATACTTCTAGCTGGGTTCTTTATATTAAAATTTTAGAAAGTTTGCCTTATTATCTGATAGGTGCTTTTATTATTTATACTATTTTTCTAATAGATAAAATTATAGAGTCTTTAACTTAAGTTAGAATTTTAATTATAGTAGGATTAGTAATTTATAGTAATATATAATAATCTTCCCTTATATCCTTAAAAATAATTTAACTTAAGTTAGATTATTATCTAATTTATGCACTATTCCTTACCTAAAGTTCCTTAATTAAATTTTAATTAGGTTAAAATCTACTCTTTTTACCAAAGAGTATATTTAGTAAAAGAAGTAAATATAGTAAAAGAAAAAATAATATAATATATATACTCCCAATATAGACTATACCTAATTAAGAAATTGTATATATATAGGTATATAATGTTAGAGACTCCCTAGGCTCCCTTATTAATTATTCTATTACTGCTTTAATTAACTATTATTAGTAAGATTATTGCTAATTAAATAAGCAAGCCTTGCCTATTTTTTAGAGACTAAATTTATAAATTCTAACTTAAGTTAAATTATAAGTAGGTTTATTATATATTTAATTTGTTATTATCTCTATTATTAGTAATATCTTATAATAACTTGCTGCTTGTATTTCTTTCTTAATAGCTTATAGTAATATCTTAAAGGCGCTTTAGATTCTTAGGTTTTAGTTAAATATACTTAACTAAAAGATTAGCATATAATATTTGTTATTTATCTTATTCCTTTATAGGCTAAATTATATATAGGCAATAGTCAGTTTATTTAGTAATATAGCTAAAGTAATGCTAAATACTTTAAGTATAACCTTTTAGTATATTCTAACTTAAGTTAAAATACTCTTTTCTAGCTTAGATTGTTTATCTAAACCGCCTTTTGTACCTAGAGCTATTATAATAATAAATAACTTATAATTTCTTTTAACTATTGCTTTATAAAATCTTAATATTTTTTTTTTAAAATTATCTTATTTAATTCGCCTTTAAAAAAAAAAGATATTAGCCCTGGGTTATAATAGTTACTGTTAAGATTAATCTAATTATTCTTAAGGATATCTTTACTAATCCTAAAGTTATTTTATCTGAAATTGCTATATTTCTTATTTAGCTTAATAAGATTAAGGGATATCCTTATATTTATTCTTGCTTTCTTTCTTTTCTTAATATTATTTAAAAGGCAAATTAGCAAATTTTATTGCCCGATATTAATATATAAGATATATATTTCTACTTATAGTCTACCGCAAAAAAGCATTAAATAACTTAGCTTATTATGTTTAGTACACTAATAAAAATATAGATAGCTAATCTAATTTAGGACAAATAATTCTAGTATATTTAGGGAATTGCTTTAATTGCTTCCTTAAATAATAAAGAAAAATATCTTATAATTTGGGATTATAATCTATAAGATCCTAGCTAAAAATAATTATATTAATTTCTTCTTCCAGTATAGAATTATTTCTTAAAATTAATAAGAAAAAAGATCTTAGTTTTATTATTATAGTATTATATTAATAGAGCTAAATCAGGGCAAAATAAGTATCTGCAATTTATAATAGAATAGCTATATTAAATAGCTTAATTAGGGGATTATCTATTATAAGAGAATAATATTTAATTTAAAAACTATATCTAGATAAAAAAGAAATAGCTATAAGAATAATATGATCTTAATAGTTTAAACTTAAGTTAGAATTTTAATAAGCTTTATAAATATATAGAATTTATATATTTTTTATAGAAGTTATAACTTACTAATTATATATAGATTTTACTGTTAACTTATTAAAAGAATAATCTAGAAATTACTTTCTATTAAGAATAATAATAGTAAATAAAATCTATTCTTTAGTTTAATAACTTTAGCTTTTATAATAAATTATATATATTGTTTAATAGTACTCTATTAGCACTATAGTTTATAAATATATATATATATTTCTATAACAATTATTTTAAAGTCTATATTAATATTTAATAATATTTTAAAAGACTATCTTTATACTTTTAGATTTAATATAATAATATTATATCTAAACTATTTTTTAGCTATAGATTTAAAAGGATATAAATTTAATAATAATATAAAATAATATAGAATATTAATACCTTTAATACTGTAAACTGTATAAACTATTTAAACCAAACTGTTTAAGAAAAATCTAACTTAAGTTAGTTTAGCGCCCGGTCTTAGCAAATATTTTGGTTTTTTTAGTTTTAAACCGAACCGCCAGAATATAGTTCGGTTTAAGTATAGTTTTCCTGCCTTAAACTAAAACCCACTATAGGCAGTCTAACCCTCCCCTGAACCGAACCAAACCACCCATATAACCAGTCTATATAATTTAAATAGGAGAATAAATTAAATATATCTTTTAATAAAGATATAATCTCTTTAATAATATATTAACTTAGATTAGTAATTAATATTGTAATTAATATATATAAAACACCTATATTATATTAAGACTTATTTATACTATATAATATATAATATATATTTATTTATATAGATAGAGTTAATTTATTAAAAGAATATTATAATTATATTCTTATATATATACTCTTATACTCTATAAGATATTAATACTTAATATAATATATATAAAAGATATATACCTAGGTTTTATCTTCTAGGGGCTAGTAAATATATACTCTATATATATTTAAGAATAATAGAGTTATAGTAATATTTTTAAAGATTAAATCTATATATATAAATAATAAACCTAACTACCTATTATAAAGAACTAGTATTAATATAGTTTTTATCTTTATATAAAAGATAAAGGGAGTAGTTTTATTCTATACCTAAGGGAAGATAATTCTTATTAGGATATTAGCTAATAGACTTTAATATAATATATAGTTAAGTATTATTAGGACAGTAGAGGGGTATATATTATAAATATTCCCTTTTATTATTTTAAATTTTATTGCTTTATAATTAAGAATTATATTAATATTCTGCTAGTATAATCCTATATATAAGGAGCAGATAATTCTTATTAATTTATATAAAGTATAGCTTCTAAAATATATAAATTATATATTTAATTTTTATAAGCCTAATAGAGTATAGACTATATGCCAGTTAATAATTATATATATAAGTATATATATATATAAAGAAAAAGAGAGAGGGAGAGATAGAAATATACTATCTATCTTATTTTTAGTTAATTTTTTCTTTAAAGTTATAAAAGCATTATGTCCAATGATCTTAATAAGTTAAATTTCTAACTCCTAGTTAGAAAGAAATTGTAGAATCCCTCTAACCAGCAAAGCTTAGAAGGGGATCAGAATAGGAAGCCAAATGGCATTTTGAGTGACCGAAGGAGGGACGGTCTTGAAGAGAGCATCGACTGGAAGCAGAAGTGCTGCAATGCAATAATTATAAGAATTATTGAAAGAATTATTATCCTCCGGACCCTAAGCTCGGAGTCTGCCGAACATATATCACCCGCGGGAAGATGATCCTCTTCCCGAACCGATGAGAAATTTTCAAGTATATCACCTGAAGGAAATCGATCAATGAGAAAATTACCATTTCTTCATATGATCTGTCAACAGAGTGCTCTGTCTCGGAAGCAGCAGGACGACCGCATCAGCAGCGGCATCAGTAGTGGACATCTCCTAAGTTCAATGATATTAACATATGAAACTTAGTGATACGAAAGATCGCAGTGGGATGATGAAGATGATGATATTCCTCTCTATGGAGGGGAAGGCTAATATACTAGGCTAAGTATATGTGATGTCCCGGCCCCGGCCTGCCCAGGGCGTGGCCGTACCTGCCTGCTGCTAGTTCTGTAACACTTAGGTATCGAATGGCAGTTCATAAGCTATCAGATATACGGCCAGTGCATAGTGGAGGTGTCTGTATCTTCGTCATACACAAATTGCGAGTCGTCTATCCCATATTTGATGGGCCATTTTGATTCTGCGACTCCTTCGTAGTCGTTCGGGTCCAGGAAAAAGAGACCGGCAACGGATGTCTTGATGCGTGGAACAGGCAGTTTGATTATTTCCTCGACATCCTCTGGTGTAGGCAGATCCTTGGCCGGACTGATCCATTAAACATACTATCGTAACGAGGAAGCAGGCATATTAAATAACGTTATATATACCGCCGACCCAACGGCAGATATGTATACGAGAAAAGAGTTAAATGCAACTCGGAGAAAGATTCATGGGGGTTTAAATAGAGGGGTAGAGAGTGAAATAAACGTCGTTTTACTCTCCGTTCTCTCCATTCATAGAGATGTAGATGGGTATTTGCGGCCTTCACTTGATATTCCTATGGAAAGGGGAGTGAAGGGACCTACTCTGTTGGTGATTACCGAGTATCTGTAATTTCACTCAAAGCTACTATCTGTTCCAGGTCTCTGATTAACTACTACAGGGGAATTTACTGGATTCTTGAGATTGGGTTCCTTTTCTGGCTAGCAGGCAGACTCGCATTGTATGTTTCTTGAACTTTTATATGAAGTATGCGAACATGGTCCAAGTTTTAAGGGGGGTTTACATTCTATAGGAGATCAGCATACTGGTAATTCTTTGCCTACTGTGTGATGAATAAAGGATCGTACTTGAGAAGCAAACAAGAGAACGAGTCGGAATTTTTTGTATTAAGTTATGCACGTATGTAATGCGAGTATTATAGAGATACTCGTCTAATTAACATTGAATGGTTTATTTTTTACTATATATATGCTGTTTCTTCTCCGCCGTGCCCCGTTTCAACTTCTAATTCTTACTTAGGAGCTAGGACTGGGCCACCTCTCCAGCACAGTAGCATCACCAGTGAAAGTGAAGCTGACAACGGCATCACGCTCATTGTTGAGCGCCAGATCATACGTTCCAGGGTAAAGGATCCTGTTTCCGTCCTCGTCGGTTCTCGCCACGCTACCAATAGCCACAGGAATGGTCAGCGTGGTAGACTCTCCGGGGTTAATCTCTGGCAGGCGATCAAAACCGACGAGCCACTTGTTGGGGTATGGAGCAGGTCCGGCGTTCGTGGTGTTAGCGAAGAGCATGGCGGAGTAAGGGGAAGCGGTCTTTCCGGTGTTCTTCACAGTGACGGTGAAGTTGAGGAAGGGGACTTGTTCAATGTACTCATAGCCCGCATGGGACTGTGACAGAAGGTCGACAATGTTGTAGCTGTTGCCTCCCCTCACGCTCAAACTCTTGGTGCTTGACGAGGACTCAGAGACGGAGAAGGTAGTGTAGAACAGACCGCTACCGAATTCGTAGACAGGCTTGCCAGTGTACCACATGTAAGTCTGTCCGGGGTTGCTGCCCTCGGGACGCAGGCTCATATCCGTCGCGGGAAACTGGGTGGCATATTCCGCGGGATACTGTGTGGTGACGAGGCGACCGGCGGGTGCACGCTTGCCGGTGAGAATATCGACCAGAGCATATCCACCAGCCTGGCCGGGGTAGCCACCCCAGACGAGGGAGTTGACCTTCGGGTTCTCCTTCAGCGAAGAGGAGTCCACCTGGCCACCACCCATCTGCAAAACTACCAGCGGCTTGTTGAGCTTGCTAAGCTCTTCAATGAGAGTGAGCTGGTTTCCGGGCCAGGTGATGTTCATGCGGTCTATGCCCTCCGCCTCAATGGTGTTATCAATACCACCGGCAAAGACGACAACGTCTGACTTCTTAGCTGCGCTGATGGCCTCGGCAAATTGCTCGGTGGAGTTAGAGGAGATGTTGGTCCCGAAAGCATAATTAATTTGCAGCGAGGTCTCCTGGAACGCTGCCAGGGGACCAACCAGGTAGGGGGCAGGTCCGAAGTAGTTTCCTTGAAGCTGGGTAGTAGCATTTGCCCATGGGCCGATGAGCGCGACGCTGCGCACCTTCTTGGATAGCGGCAGCGTGCCGTCATTCTTAAGAAGGACAATTCCTTCCACTGCAGCCTCATATGAGATGTTCTGTGCATCGGTCTTCAGGACATCATTCCAATCCAGCTTCCGGTATTCAGTATCGTTGCCATCGAAATAGCCCACACGGACCAGATTCGAATACAAACGGATGACGCTCTTCTCGATGTCGCCGCGCGAGACGCGTCCCTCGTAGAAGGATTCGTTCAAAAACCAGGGATAATCGGTTCCGCAGTCAATATCAGTACCTGCAAGAAGGGAGACAGCAGCAGCAGCGGTCTGGTTTCCGGCGTATTCGTGAGGGTTGAAGACGTTGTAGACGGCATCACAGTCGGAAGAGACATAACCATCATCAACGAAATCAAAGGACTCACGGAGCAGCGTCTGCAGCAACCACGGATTGGCGCAGCTGGGAACGCCATTGACTGCATTGTAGGAGCACATGAAGCTGCGCACCTTGGCATACCGTGACGCAGCCAGGAACTGGGGCGTGTAGTACTCGGCAAGATCTTGCTGCGAGATGTTGAGATCATTACCCAAGCGAGAGTGGCCGTCCCAGTTCTCCAGGTCATAACCGGCAAAGTGCTTCGCCGTGGCCAGCAATTTCTGGTGTTCCTCGTCCAAACCTTGCAAACCGGTGATGTACTCATAAGCATACACGGCGCTCAGATACTGTGCGTCTTCACCAGGAGTCTCCTGTCCACGTCCCCACATAGGGCTGCGGAAACCGTTGATGTTCGGAGCATAGCTGTCCAAACCATACCGTCCGGCGTTGTTGAATGCACGACCCTGAATTGCGATGATAGATGCGATTTGGTTGATCAGAGTCCGGTTCAGCGCGGCCATAGACAGGATGGGCATCGGGAAGGACGTCGCCCAGCTGTAGTCCCCTGATGGGGTGAAGTTTGCGCGGTCCAATCCGTGCAGGGCTTCATTCCACACTTGATAGGGAGGCAGACCCAGACGCGGGACACCAGGAGCCGTGTTACCGGTGTTGTTAACCAGCTCCTCGAGCGTGAAAAGAGAGATTAGAGCACTCGCGCGGTCCCACGGGGTCGCCGAGGTGTTGCAGACGAGATTCGTGCTCAATGGCCCATTGGTGCAGTCGGGGAAGGAGAGATCGATCGTGGCCAGGGTCCGAGGCGTCAGATCTGGCTGCGCCTGGACGCTATAGTTCACATAAGAGGTGTTGGCCTGAGCCAGTGTGGTCGGCGCCAGAGCCGCCAGAACGGTGAGAAGAGAGCCGATGGACGCCATGGCATGTAACTCGTGGACCATCAGGCGTCAATGGTGTTAATCCAGAGCACACGACTGCGTCTTCTCTATTTCGAGGTCCATGGAGCTCTCCATCATGGGTATTTATATTACACAGACTGCAGGCTCTCACTTTGGAAAAGAAATACATCTGGACCCCACAGGACTCATGGGGCTCATCCAAGTATAGAAGGTCGTCGAGTCGATCTCCTGTCTCTGGCCGATATCCGACCGAATGTAGGCAGGGGATCGGAGTGCCTGCGATTTAGGCTGAATCATGGCCACGCGAGAACGCGTGCAGAAATGGAGGAATTTCCCTGGCTTCCATCTCCCACCTCCGAGAATGGCGAGATGGCGGACGTTCTTCGGTCTTCCCCAGAATTAGCGTCCTACACTAAGAGCCCAAGGCTCTTTGCAGAACGGAATAACCCCAATATCGTAGAGTACATGGCGAGAGAGAAATTTTTGCTGGGAGCGATTATTCTGAATGCAAACTGGAGGCTCTGAGAGAAGTAGCACTTTACAGAACATCATTCGGACACGAGGAGATCCCAGCTCGCGGAACATCGGTATCTCAGCCACAGGACTGAACGGATCGAAGGATGCGGGGAAATACGGTGTGGGGTCTCCACGGGCAAGCTGTGTATTTTATCCGTGGATCCTGGAAGAAGACAACTGGGGAAATAAAGTTGTCGGCAGATCCGACGACTTTAGTATAACCACGGAGCTAGGTCAGAACAGCAGGACCGCCTTGCTCATCCTAGGGGTTTGTTTCAACAGTAGAGAAACTTTGATGTGGTTGACTGCAGGTGCATCTAAGTATCCGGTGATTGAACAGAAACCAGAATTCTTGTCAGGTCCTAGAACGATTGATACCGAGTAGCTAGGCACAAATTTCTCGGAGCTTCAATTGACGCTCAAGTAGCTTCAGCGGGTCCGATTTTAGCCTAAACAAAAGTTCTTTGACAGTTAAGGTCTTTCAAGGTACCTCTCATGGGCTATGACGTGCCGTTTCACAGTGCTGAGCTTTGAACCTCATGCAAATGCCATGTCATAATAGCACGAGGCGGGCCAAGCCGGGGCTGCACCGGATGCAACTGGGAAGTGATCTGTGTAGTGTGTCTTGTAGCAAGGTAGAAGTATTGACGGAAGACTGAAATCGCAGTCCAATGTCTCTTTTTCCTCTGATGTCTAACAGTCTTTGGTGTTGTGGTAAAATTACGTATCCTGTTAACAGGCCCATGGAGGCAGAATGGACCAAAGTGTCTGCGACTCGAAGACATTTGTATCTCTTTGGAATGCGCACAGAGCTGATAACTCAGAATCAACCACCCAGTCTCCTGGTCAGGTCAACTGACATGTTGCTTCTGGCCATGCTAGACATCCGGTCTTCTCCGCCAACGTCGATGCACAAGCCTTCGCCAAGCCACTGCCAAAACATGTTCCATTTGATATGAGAGTGACGCTTGAAAAGTTTTTCGTTCCCTAAGCGCCACCGAAGCGTATATCCTTCAGGAAGCCTGAAATAGGCATTGCTGATTTATCCGAGAAATTACCAAGCACCTGCACCGGCAGGTTGCCTGTACGTTGACAGCCGAATCAAGCTACTGGGTAGATATTCAAAGTAGCTTCAAAGCTCTAGCTGGTTCATTAACACAATCTGATTCTCGGAAATATTGCGTACTGGATTCCGGGGTTCCCTTTTTGATCGTAGCCGGAGGCCGCAATGCTATTCGAGAATTCGGTCCTGGTTATCACAAGATACATTTGCGGACATTAACCGGTAGCTGTTCTTGATTATGGCTCCCATAAAAATCGGGTAACCAGCGAGAGCTTGCCATTACGCATCGGGGTATGAGCTAAAGCACGTGCATTGACTGCATATATCGAACCAGTTCAGTCAGTGAGATGACATCTGAAAATGCCAACATGAAAGTCGGTAGAACAGCGCACAAAGCATATATGCTTGAGAAAAACAGTTCTGGTGCCTAGCTTGCGATAGTGACCCGGAGGATTTCGCCTAGAGTCGCATGATTAGGTGCTGACGTTGACACGAGACTGTTGGTCACTGTCCAACGAAACGAACATATTCTATTTCTTTTGTGGTTTGTTTTTTGGGGTATCTTGACGTTAATCCATATAGCGGCAGGTAGGCAGCCGGTAGTTATCCACTACCCAGTAAGGCCTGCGGACACCACTCCATTCCCCTTCCAACTTGGGTACCTGGATTTCCTCCCAGTCCACATCGAATCCTGCCTCAAACAAATCCATCTCGACGACTTTCTGATAGACATCGTAACTAATTTGTCGGTCCGCACCCATTCCATTGAAGAAGCCAAACTGTCCGGTAGGTTCTAAGAGCCCAATGACTTGCTCAGACATAAAGTCCCGGAAATCAGCATAGGATTCAGCAAACGTGTCGTAGTAAATGGCATCGAAGGTCTCGCCTTGCTCGACCAGTCTGGGAAGGATATCTTGCCAGCGGCCTTGGTGGATCTGCACTCCAGGTTTTTCGTGCCAACCCTTTCGCTTCATTTCCGCCACAACTTCCGGATGCGCCTCGATGATGTGATGAGCGGCTGGTGATTGTTCTTGGAAAAATCCGTCTACAATGCCCATGCCGTGTCCAATGTTGAGAACACGCAGACCCGGGGTGGGTGAGAGCTTTTTAGCGGACTTCGCCATAATATCGGATTCCCAAGCCATCATGACCCCGTTCTGATCTTCATCTAGCAGGCGGTCATTCCGGAAAGTCAAGTTGGACTGTAGATAGCGTGAACTGGTAACGTCTGGGTCGCTGGTCGAGTCTCCTGCCTCCTGGCTGGTCTCTTCTGAAGCAGCAGGAGCCGTTGGGGCTGCCGTGGTACCCGGAACCTCTGCTGTATCGTCACCTTCATTTCCTTCCCCATCATCCGAGAGACGTTCGTAGCCCTCCAGGCGGTTGAGCAGTAACTCAGCCCGCACACCTGCGTCGACCATGAGCTCGTACAAGTCCGTTAACCCCAGCCGTCTTGCCAAGCAACCAGGTGTCTCGTTCTTCAAGTCCAGGTCATTCCATATTGCTCCTTCCTGTAGAAGGAATTTGACAGTATCCCTTCCCTCTTCTAGAGTCTTTTGTTGTTCCTCGTCTCCTGCGTCGTCTGCTTGGACGCCATTCGGCTCCCCGTTTGTTGGCTGTTCGTCGGGCTCACAGGCGGCAATCGCAGCATGGAGAGGACTGTACCCGGTCTCGGGGTCTTTGACATTCACTGGATCGGGCACCTTGTTCGATCGTATGAGAGTGCGAAGTTTGCGGACGTCATGTTGCGACGCGGCGAGAAGAATCTCTTGGACGTCGATGTCAACATTGATCTCCGAATTGAGGTCAGCCATGATGGCTTTGAGTCTGCCAGTAAGAGACAATCTGATCTGGCAGCGCGTGAACTTTCTGCAAGCTTCGTTAGTTAAAAGAAGACGTTCCAACGAGCTAAGTAGAATGTCGACCGATGCAAATCGTCGAGATCTGGAACAAAAAAAATGCGGGACGCCAAACTTTCCCCGCCGAGTGGAACCCCGTGGACTTTTGCCCCTCGGAGACTACTTTCTGAAGCAGACAGCTCCAGATATCAAAGAGTATCGAATGTTATTGCTCGATGGAGAGATTGTCTTTCATTATCCTTCAGGCAGTTTTAATCTTACACGTCGTTATTTCATTATTCATAACAACGCATCTGGGATCTCAGACCGTGCGTGGGAGGCTTCCGCGATGATAACCACATACCATCTTCGATCACACTCTATATACAGGATGCAGGTCAGATCTGCATATGAGAGAATCCGCCCAACCGCCAGTCTCGATTTCATACGGATGGTTCCAGATCGTATCTGCCCTCTGAATCCAAGCTGCCTGGTCACATTGGCACTCTCCACATTTTATACCGCAAATATCTGTGAAGCGGTGGGATATCTTAAGTATGGTTCCACTACATATTTGCTCGCAACTTTCAGCCCAACCACAGCGGTCGTTTCGTGCCTCCTGCGCCAAATATATGCTTGAAATCGCAGAGACGAAGCTCTAGCCATCAGTCAAAAATCATATAAGGATAGAGCAGTAACTAAACCACAGCCAGTCCATTCCAAATACGGGTTCCTCTAGAGGCTACGGGCTTGCCCTCGATACCTACCTAGATAGACTCAATCTAGGACCGCAGGATAAACACATGCACTCTCTGTTACACTGTGTCTTCCATTCTGCAGTACCGATGAAGACACTTTGGTTTCTAGACTAACTATTCGAGACAGCAGGTCCAAATGACACTGACAACTACATAGCATCCTCAAACACCATTGAAGAGCTCGCGATAATCAAAGTGGGAGTGATTAAGTGGCAAGGACCATGATGTGATTCATGTTCCCCAAACCAGCGATATCGATCTCACCTTTACAGAGTACTAATCATTGTGGCTGTTTGATATCGCTTTTTAGGACTCAAGATCAAGCTCTTGGCCTTACACTAGGAGATAAGGAGGCTCTCGGGCTGTCACCGCCACGAACCCAACCCTGACGGTCAAGAAACCCTCAATGCTTGAATGCTGAATGAGGAAAGAATAGCACCTGGAGTATTACTCGATGGGAATAGTGCGACTTCTACTTTCCCCTTTTAGCATCAGTGATCGACATTTGGCGCACACTTCATCTTGTCCATACCATTCTGGGATATATGAAACGCCGCTGGAACTCATCTGTACCTCAAACGATTCTTCTTTACCAAGCGAAATACTAGTCTATCACATCACTCCTTTCCATACGAAAATAATATCGATTGATATTATAATGACTTCAACAGCATTCCTACATTGAGTAAACAGGCCCCTCGCACGCGAAGAGCTCGCTATCTAGCTAATTTATGCAGGCTATAATCATGTCCTGTGCTCATAATACACCTCAGTGGTATACGCGAGGCTGATTTCCCATGGCGTGAAGCTTTTTGTTTCTTCTTGACGACCGACTTCTATTCGCGAATTCACATCTCGAACGAGCGAGATAGCTAGGCTGATGATCCCATCGACTAGTTTGATAACCACTGGTGACGGACTGTGTCATTGCTCTACTATCACGGTCAATGCATCGGACGCTCATCCCTTGGCAGGAAGTCTTGGCTTCCATAGAAGCTACACTGAACGTCTCAAATTACCAAAACGGGAAATCTGGACTACAAGCCCTGTTTCAAAAAAGCAGTATGGTGTCCCAAGCAAGTATCTCTCGATACCTACTCCGTACGGAGTATATAAGCTCAATTTTATGAAGCACAGACCACGATCTCCAGGACCCTTTTCGGTTCCTCGTAGATCCGAACGAGAAAATGCGTGCGTCTTCAAAAGGGACGATCTCCCAGCTGCCCTCTATAAATTTAAGCTGCAACATAGCGGTTTAAATACTAGGGCTTCTCCACTCTTCTATTCACTCACTTTTCCTTTCTTCAGAAGTGCTGGGCATTTCATCCTATCTTTATTGCTGTAAATACCGTCTGTGGTTATTTTTTTCCCCTGTCATTCATTGATATTTAACGAATATGAAGTTCTCTTCTTCCCGAGCTGTGCTCGCTGCCATTCTGGCATCTGGTGTCTTCTCTGCGCCTGCACCATTGGAGACTCGTCAAGAAGGGGTAACAGATCTTGACGTGCTTCAATTTGCGTTGACTGTGGGTGTCCTTGAATGCAACTGATCATGATGAAAAGTACTGATTGGTCCCAGCTTGAACATCTCGAGAATGTTTTCTACAAAACTGCTCTTAGCAGCTTCAGTGAAGTAGACTTTCTCACTGCTGGAGTCTCTGCAGCAACGTTCGAACAGATGTTGTTTGTCGCGCATGATGAAGAAGCCCACGTCCAGTTCCTTGAACAATCAATTTCTGCCGCTGGAGGTCAACCCGTGGCGGCGTGCGAATACAATTTCCCCTTCACCGATGTCTCGAGCTTCGTGTCCCTAGCATCTGTCCTCGAGGGAGTTGGTGTGTCTGCCTACTTAGGAGGAGCGCCTGTCATTTCATCCAAAGATATTCTCGCTGCAGCCGGCGCCATCCTTGTCGCTGAAGGCCTCCATCAGTCCGTCATACGAAGTGCCCTCTTCGAAGTCGCTTCAGCCAATATTGCCGGTACTGCTGCATCCCCGAACTCCATTTTTACAATTGCTTCGACCTTCATCAAGTCATGTCCTTCGACCAATCCTCCTCTTCCCTTCAAGGCATTCCCATCTCTCCAGATGGCAGGGGACCAGAAAATGGCCACCGCAGGACAGACTGCAGCACTCACCGTCGACCCGTCCGTGCAACTTGGAGAACAGACATTCGTCACCTTTGTCAGTGGTCTCGAGACCGTCAGCGTCCAAGCTGAGATCTCTCAAGGATTAGTCTCGGCTGTGATCCCACCGGAGGCCCAGGGCCAAACCTTTGTCATGTTGACAAACACAAAAGTTTCAGGCACAGTTTCTGATGGCGCCGTTATTGCTGGTCCTGCAGTCATGGAGGTCTCCCCGCCTGCTCCTAAGCTTGACTTCGGTCTCCAGCGGTAAACCATATCAAGCCATGCGTGTCAATGAAAGAAAGTAGCAAGATATGAGACCTAGTGTATGATTTTTCCTGATCTTCAATCTACCTTTTCCTGTACCTCTATCTATTCCCATTTCATCTGTATAGGAAATGATCACCGTCTTCCAGGAGCTTCGTGGATTAAAGGTAGAGAGGCTCTAGAGGATAATCCTGTCCAACAAGTATTAGGACATATCCAGATACACTCTTAATGACACGCCAGTCGAAAAAAAAAACATTTTATATAATGCTAGATCCAGCTAGGACCAGACCTCTGAGGAGTTCTCCTTTTTGGTCGAGTCGTCTAGTCGACTTCCGATATATAACTTTCTCTTTTTTCTCTTTTCTTTGCATTTCCTTTCTTACCCTCTTATCTGATAGTAATAGGTAGATCCATAGATGAGATCCGCTTATCTGGAAATCTTTGTACGCAGTACTACATACTTTTTCTATGTGGGTGAATGGAATGAAATCGGTTTATTTCTTTTTTCCAGTATTGGCTGTCACACCCTCTATCAAAGTAGTCCCTCCGATTTCATAACCAGCTAGACTATCTTTGGCAGCGTTGGAAGTGTCGGATTCTAGGGAGCTTGCTTGTATGGCTCCGGGCATCTCTGAGTCCATATGAAAGGGACTGTCTACTCTAGAAGGGCTAGAATTGTGAAGTAGAAAACTCAAATAGTACGCTTCGTGCTCAAGGACATATTAATTCCACTTTTTACCCTCAGGGCGTCCTGTAGCACACGAGTTTTTACCGCAGGCTACTTTAGAACATCACCCGGCTAGATATAGAATTGACATACGTCTACAGGGATTGTCATTATGGGACGTCTTCGGAGAAGAGAAAAAGCCTTTTGACTTATTTTTGAGAAAATACTTGCATCGCTATTTGTACACTGTTCCTTGCCTTGTTCGCACCCCACATGGTCACCAATTAAATGAAACAGGTGCTGATCACGCCAAGTGATGAATATCACCTTTGAATAGAACCAAGCCCATTGCTACAAGCTATCGTTCACACTTCAGCATAAAGGCCCCTGCATACTCGCTAGGGCTTCCAGTCCACAGCCAGGACGGTTTATTTCTTCTCACCGTTGCCCTCGGCGTTCAGGTTCAGACCCAGACCCTGGGAATCCAAGTAGAGCTTGTTCTTGCCACCGGCTTCCTGGAGGATCTGAGCAATGTTCCTTGCGTTCTCGATCTGTCGGAGCTCAATGTAACTCTTGCTCTTCTTGATCGCATCTCCGATCAGCTCTGCAGAGCGAGCCTCACCCTGTGCGCGGACGATAGTAGCCTGCTTCTCTTGGCGGGCCTTGTCGACAATGAAAGCAGCTCTCTGGGCCTCTTGCTGGGCGACCTGCTTGGCTTCAACAGCAGCCGTAAACTCGGGGGAGAAGGCAAGGTGCTGGAAAAGGAAGATATATTAGCGGATGATCTCAACGGCACAAAAGGGTGCCCAGCGTCATAACTTACCGTAAGGGAGACATCATCCAGAGTAATGTTGAAGCGAGCAGCTCTTCTGGCAAGGTTGTCGCGAACGAGTCTGGCAACATTCTCACGCTGAGTGATCAGCTGACTGGCGTTGAATTGAGCGACAACGCTCTTCAGCACCTCGTTAACGATGGACGGGAGGACTCTTTCATCATAATCCTGTCCGAGGGTTCGGTAAATCTGAGGAAGGGCTTCGATTCGTGGTCTCGACAGGACACGGCAGGTGATATTAACCATCTGGAGGTCCTTGGTTCCAGTGAGGGATGCAACGTTGCGAGGCTTTGCGCGGACATCGTAGTCGATGGGAGTCTCGAACCAAGGAATCTTGAAATGAGTTCCTGGATGAAAAAGTCAGCTTAGATACAAAGTCCTGGCATTCGTGAGTAGGCCTGCTTACCTTCATTGTAGATTTCCTTCTTCACTCCACCTATTCTAGTGTACTTGATGGCCCGGTGACCACCATCGACTGCACCATGATGCATCAGCGAAAAAGCCATAGGAGATATATGGAACACGAGGCTGCCTCACCGTTGAAGATAGAATTCGATAGCGCATATCCTCCTGCCACGATCAGGACAACTGCTCCAAGGCCGCCAAATGCGCCTCTACCACCTCCGCTTGGGAAGCCCCCAAAGCCACCGAAGCCACCCCGGTTGCCGCGGTTCTGCAGCATGAGCTGGAGTCGCTCCCATTGATCCCGCGGTGAGCCAGACATGATGTTGTTCGTGGAAGAAATGCGTAAGGTCGCGACAGCGCCTTCGGTTCGTCTGGAGATGGGCCTGGCGGGTGGAGGAGCTCGGCGGAAGGTCAAAAGTTTGGGCGATCGCCCTAGTACGGATGGGGACACGCCTGGAGCTTCGCCCGCGGAGCTCTTCCTGAATCGTGAGGAAGCATTGCAACAATCTTGTGCAGCTTGCTGGGAGCCCCAAAGGAGAGGAAGATCGGTTGTCCCTGTCTTAGGCTTGCTGCTTCCGTTTAGCGTCTATCAGATCCTTTGTTTCCCAGTTTTTGCTTGAGACGTCGACTACGCGTGTTTCACCCAACGCAGGGCTTGCTAAAGCGCCCGCTCAGTCGCAAATATGGCGCCAGAAAGACAAGGAAAAAGTGTCTTCTTGGGGAATATACCCTACAGTATGTGCTTGCCTGACCTTATCGTAGACAGTGAACATACTGACCATACAAAGACCTCACTGAAGAGCAGGTGAAAGACATCCTCAGTTCCGCTGGAACGGTGACGAAATTCCGCCTCATGATGAATCCTGAGACAGGCAAGCCGAAGGGTTATGGGTTCGCCGACTTCGCAGATGCAGATGCTGCTGCTTCTGCTGTTCGAAATCTGAACGACTACGAGATCATGGGAAGGAAGATCCGGGTTGATTGGCCACACAATAACGAGAAGGATTCGATTCCTCCCGACTACTCTCAGCAATCCCAGATGGCCGGACAGGCTCCTGATAGCCAGTCAGGATACCAGCAACAATCAACGTCTTTGCCTCCTCTCCCTCCTGGCGTCGACGTACCACCACACCTGGATTGTCCAAATGCGATTTCTCAGACTCTTTCGTCACTCTCTCCTCCTCAACTACTCGATGTGCTCTCTCAGATGAAATCTTTGGCAGTCGCAGATCCTGCGCGAGCTACAGAGCTCCTTCGACAAGCCCCTCAGCTTGCCTATGCCATATTCCAAGCATTACTTCTTATGAACCTAGTCGACTACAGCACGCTAGGATCCGTTGTTGAACAAGCAGCACAGCCTGCTGCTGCTGCAGCTGCTCAGCCCTATCAGCCTTACGCATCTGTCCCAGGCCAAATATCGACACCACCAGTCCATAACGCTCCTTTTGCACCTCCGCAGGCACAACAGCCAATGCCTGCGCAGCAACAGGTTCCCGGCCAAGACGAACTGTTGCAGCAGGTCCTGAGCATGCCTCAGGCTGCCATAGATGCACTGCCTCCAGTGGAGCGGAGTCAGATCATGCTTCTGCGCCAACAGTTGATGCAAGGCGCAGGCAGGTAATGCGTTTCGATATCTCCTAACGCTTACGCGATGTCTCTGTCTCTTCTTATCTCTCGCAGAAACGGCGGTAATTTTAACTGGGAATGGATGGCGTAAACTGGAAGGTTTGTCACAAGGTTGCATGCACTATTTGGTGTGAAATGGTCCAGAGCGTCTGCAGCTACGGTATGATCGATCTCGTTTTGAATGGTGGTTGCGATATGCCTCATCTGCTTGAACTGCCAGGTATTTCTTTGCGTATTGTGTATCTAGGACATAATTTATTCTCTGGTAGAAATAGTGCCAGGAATAAAAAAACATATTATGAGCGGATGAAGGCTTCTTGACTGCTATTTGAGACCTCGTAAATGCTCCCTCGTAAGTTGTAACTAAGCAGTTCACCCATGAGGGTTACTTAGCAGAATCTCGCAATTCTTGGCAAAACTTTGTATTGACGACCCGGGAACTATATATTCAATTTCCCATTAAGACACTTCAGATGAATACTATTCTAGCGTCATAGATCCATTATGGATAGCAAGGTCGGGACTGCTCGAGACTTCCTTACGGAGTGTTTCCTGCTAATATATACAGGCCCCCACTGTTAATTATGTCTCCTCGCCATAGGATGTCGAAGAACTCCTTGACCGGACCTCATTGAATATCTCCGTTCTGTTTAACGGCCCTATGTTATAGGTGGTAATGATCCGTATTCAGGGTATCAAACTAACAGTCCATATTAGAGCAAAACCCGTATCACTGCGTTGAGCTTTTGGACCCTTTTCGTTCTTCCGGTCTTACCTATGCATGGACAGGGAATCAGGGCTACACATTCAACATGGTAGCGGAATATATACATAGAAACAGAGACACTAGAATCTACTTTGACTGAATGCTCAAACCGCGGACGAGAGCTTTGTGGAAGAACAGACTCAATACCCATTCGCGATCTGAGGTGTCAAGGAAAATCGTTCTTAGAACTTTGCTGTGGCAATACTGTGGTAAGTACCTACCTTTCTAGGTGCTGTGATTCAAGAGAAAATATCGGAATAAGGATCAAAATACATAGATTCCTTGCTCCATTCAAACCATCAATATAGAACCTTTCTCTCCCAGAGATATAGGAATTCAAGCTTTTCTGTACAATATGACTAGTAATATCTCCCCCCGTACATAAAGCATTATGCAATTCCCATAGGATGTATTCCTGAACAGGGTACAAATCATGGTACAGCTCGCCCATCCCATCTTCGTGCAGCCAGGCTTGGGCTTTCACGACTCTAGCCCCAAAGGGGACATGTGCTGTCAACAAAGGAAATGTTGTGAAAACTTGCGCGCAAGTGAGGCCAATCTTTCGCGTGCCCACTTCTAAACTGTCACAAACCTCATCAAACTTAAGATCCTTCACGTCCTAACCCCCTCCTCTCATTCACCTCCACGTGATCGGACGTGCCCTATACTTCTTTCTATCAAAATACTCACTATTACTCCTCAGGAAAGCCATAAAGGCAGTACCTGGAGATACGGAAGCTTGATATCTGGATAATATCTTCAAGAATCATCTCAGACATGGTGCCGCCGAGAAAGACGCGTTCTGCGTCGAGGCGTCCTGCTGAGTCTGGCAACAAGGCGCCTCCAACCTCAGAGACCAGTCAGGATAATGACAATAATGGTCCTGAAATGTCTTCTGCAGGGAAATCAGGAAAGGAATATACTGTTCCAGTATTGGCACGTTCGACGCGTCAAAAGAAGATCACTGTCTCTGATTCCCTGCAAGATTATGAAGGTGACATACCGGAGATCCTGAGGTCGAGGATTCCCATGGATATCTCCCAGAGTGGTCTTGACCCGACTTTACCCCCTATTCACAACCTGAAGGATATCTTTGATGATATCACTAGACGTGCCATACAGCTTGGATTGGTAGACTTCCTGACCTATATGGGTTCGAGGAAGCTGAGGGTCGTGACTATGTGTTCCGGCACTGAAAGCCCTCTACTTGCCTTGGAGATGGTCGGGAAGAGTATGTATTATCTTTTCATAACTCAAGGATCTCCGCAAGAATGGTATTGACTGATCTATCCAGGTCTGAAAAACATTTTCGGTATCGACTTCAAATTCGACCACCTATTCAGTGCGGAAATAGTTGTTCTGAAACAAGCATACATCGAGACGAACTTCCATCCGCCCCTGATTTTTAGAGACGTTACCCAGATGCAAGGATCAGAAGCGTAAGTGTATAAGACATACCTTCCTAATCAAACATACGTTGACTAACAGTCTAGTGTCACGGCATACGGAGCCTTACAACCGATCCCCAAGAACCCCGATATCCTCATAGCGGGCGCTTCATGTGTCGACTTCTCAAACCTGAATAATCAGAAGAAGTCCCTAGAAGATAAGGGGGAGTCAGGCTCTACCTTCTATGGAATCCTGAACTATGCCAAAGTCTACCGGCCACCCTTGGTCATTCTCGAAAATGTGAAAGGTGCCCCATGGGCGCAGGCCGCCGAAGACTGGCAGAAGATCGGTTATGCTGCCGCCTTCACGATAGTTGACACTAAAGATTATTATATCCCACAGACTCGCGAACGAGGATACATGATTTGTATTGACCGACAGCGCGAGGGATGTGACCAGATCGCAAATGATGCTATTGCCGAGTGGGCGCAAATATTTGCGCAGTTCGAACGTCGCGCAAGCTCTCCTGCATCTGCGTTTATTCTTGACGACGATGATCCCAGACTTGAACGTATTCAGAAGGACATGGCTGAGAAAAGCGCCAGCAGCAGATCTCGCACTGCCAACTGGTCCAAGTACCAAGCTCGTCATCAGAGCTACCGTTTGAACAACAAACTTGGATACAAGCGGCCTCTGTCCAAGTTCCAGGACCACGGTTCTTGTAACATGCCTGACTTTGTCTGGCAGGACTGGTCACGAGTACAACCCGAGCGTATCTGGGACACTCTGGACATGAATTTCTTGCGCACGCTTCGTACCAATAGGTACGATATTAACTACAAAGAGTAAGTAGTTGTCCTTAAGCTCGCAATAAGTGTTAGACTAACGTCCAGATAGACGTTTCCTCGAACTGTCCCAAGGCATAGACCGTGAAATCGATACTCGCCAGTTCGGGATCGTGGGATGTATCACTCCCAGCGGCATTCCATACATCACAACGAGAGGCGGTCCACTCTGCGGACTGGAATCACTCTCTTTGCAAGGTTTACCTCTTGACCGACTGATTCTGACCAGGGAGTCCCAAAGAGACTTGCAAGATTTGGCAGGGAACGCGATGACTTCAACTGTAGTTGGGACAGCTATCTTATCAGCCTTGATTTGCGGATACAAGGTTCTCGAGAACGGTAGCTTCGCAGATCCAGAAGATGACAACGAAGATAGCATGACGATCTTCCCAAACGATAGTTATGAGATGATCGAACGATCTCTACGACTTACCGAAAGTACCGAGATTGAAATAACTGAAATACTCGACGAGGCGAAAAGGAGCTCGCAGCTGTGTCGTTGCGAAGGTCAAGCCACTATCAAACGCAAGGGTATTCTTCAATGTTCACTCTGCGGACACACTGCCTGTACAGTCTGTTCAGGAAACCCAGCCCATGATTACCATGCTCTCCCGAATTGGACTTTGGAAAACCGAAAAGACCCTGTGGAGTTTTTGACAAAACTTAAGCAAATAATCCCAATGCGTTTGATACTCTCTGGAATCTCAGATCACGACTACCACGACCTCAAGAGGGACTTGGATTGCCCGCACAACATATGGGATGGATTTTTGGAATCCGTGTGTCGCGCATTTGGAGACGAGCTCCGTTTCTTGTCTATCAAACGGGCTAGAAACTGGACCGTGCTATATGATGGCCCCTCTTCCAGACTGTGCTTAGAGATTCATGATGACAAGGTTGAGTGGCTTCTGTACGTAAAACCCTCAGTGGACGAGCCAGCCACGTCGATAAACCGCGAGATTTTTGGAAAGCCCATTGCCAGAATGAGCGCAAAGTCTGGTTCACTTCTTGAAGGACAGTGGGAGATATGTGCTCCTGTCAGCTCTAAGACCACTTTGGAAATCTGCGGCACTGGATCTCAGATTGCTGCATACGAGTCGAAAGTTGGACTCCAAGATGGTCACTTTTTTGACGCAAAGGTCTGGAATAACCTTCTTGTCTCTGGATCGGATGAGGCTATCAAAGACTTGGAAATAGATGTCCGTGGCACATATGAGCTGCTTCCTGATTGCGGTACAGCTTGTGCTTCTTTGCATAGGAGATTGGCTTCGCAGAACAGTCCTCCTGTTTATCTCTTTCTGGATCCGACAAAACGTGCCGACCCCCAATTGGACCCGTTCGTCTTTTCGTTCTCGCATGAGCGTCTCATTGGAAATGCCCGCCGTTCTATCTTGGGGGAGCTCAGTCATAAATGGCGATCAGCAGACGTTAACGAGGAGAAATCTGAGGTGGATCTCTTCTACAGAAAGTGGACCAAGTGCGACACAATGAGACTTGATACGTTCAATGACTCGGAAATAACGTACCGCACTCTCTCTACCATGAATACTCTGACTATTGGTGATGTTGAGTGCCACAATTCTAACGTCGTTCTCATGGAGTTCGCAGTTCCCGTGTCGGAAATACCGTCGTCTTGGAAGCCCGGGTCGTGGCAATCTACTAATCTGATGGAGTCGGCAGGATTCCTTAGTGACTTCGCGTGGTTGATACAGAAATCATCAGACATATCTGATTTTGAAGATTGGAACCTAGTTTCTGCATACATTTCTGATCCGGGAGAAACGATATGCTCCGTGTGCGCCCCCAAAAAGCCACGAACAATATGGGGTCTTGGTCGTCGCGAAACTATCGTGCCTTATGAGGACCCTTTCGAAGCTGCCACATATGAAAGAAACATCAAGTCACGCCCATCGGCTTTTGTGGCTTTCAGCATGGTGGACGAAGAGAACATTGTGCATCTCAAACTCGCCGTGAACATAAGTACCCTGTTGCACCAAGCCTACGATAACCTCGTGGGTCCCAGAATCTGCCAGGAGGTTGGGCTTAGCTGGCGTCTCGTTCCAAACGCTCCGGATATCAAAGAGATTGGATCCAGAGGATTCCTTCTGATGAGCAATAAAGATACAACATCCTGCTCTCAGCCACCAAACTTCCGGAATATGAAACTCCGTCCCGAACAGTTGCGTTCCCTGCAGTGGATGATCTCTCAAGAGGACGACAACGCTCAGCCATTCCAGGAAGAGGAAGTTGAGGAAGCTCTTCTCCCTTCTATGATGTGGCGCGCTGAGGGCAAAGCAACGGTCGAGAAGGTAGTTCGCGGGGGAATCCTGGCTGATGAAGTTGGGTACGGGAAAACTGCAGTGACCCTCGGACTGATCGACACACAATCCCAGATAGATAAGCGACGATTGATCAAGGATGCAGGACTTGCGGATGGATCAATCCCACTCAAAGCAACTTTGATAATTGTGCCGCAGATAATGGTGAAGCAATGGCAGGCTGAAATTCGCAAGTTTCTGGGAAATACATACAAACTTCTCGTCATATCCACGGCAGCATCCCTGAAAAGCAAGTCCATCGCGAACTTTCAAGAGGCAGATATCATTCTTCTGTCATGGAGTGTGTTCAATGGTGCTGCTTATTATAACCGCGTCGAACAATTTGCTGCGGCTCCATCTGTCCCTTTGAGGGATGGACGCATCTTCGATCAGTGGTTCAATGAGACCCTTGAAAGTATTGCGAACAACGTTAACATCTTGCGAGAGGAAGGCCCTCGGAAACTACTCCATACCATTTCGGAGAAACGTAAAGATCTCAAGGAAGCAAATGCCTACTACACTTACGTGCCGTCAAAGCGGCTCAAGGGAAAGCAGTTTGCCAAGGCTCAAGAAGAGAAACAGCAAGTGGAGATGAACTCGGGTCAGGATCCAGAAGCTGACGGCCCTGCATCTGGGAACAAACGAAAGATGAGTGCTGTTCAGAAGGGCAAACTGCCGCAGAAAAAGGAAGAAGAAAAGCTTTGGGACGACGCCAGCGACTTCGGTATCAAAACCTCTAACCAGGACTGGACGACACTCAGGAATGTGCTCGTTCATATGTTCGAGTTCAATCGCATTGTGATAGACGAATTCACATATGTGAACGAGAGAAGGATCGCAACGCTTCTGACTTTGAAAGCTCGTTCCAAATGGGTTCTGTCAGGGACTCCACCATTAAACGGGTTCTCCGATGTGAAATCGATTGCACAATTCCTGGGGCTTGGTCTTGGAATTGATGAGGAAGATCCCTCTAATTCGCAGCATGCGCGCCTCGCAGCTGCGAGATCCGAGCGATCTGGTAAGTGAGGCCTTCCCTTGCAAATATCATGTACTAAACGACATAAAGATGCCGAGCAATTCCTTTCCTTCAAAACCCCCCATAGCCAGGCCTGGCATGACCGCAGACACGAAGTTGCGCAAAGGTTTCTCGACTGCTTCATGCGTCAGGTAAGAAGAAAACACTGCCCACACCGGCTGTTTAATGACTAACGCGGAACAGAACATCGCTGAGATAGACGAAATCCCGTGGACGGAGCACTTTTGTGTCGTTAAACTGTCTGCCGCAGAAACCGTCATCTATCTTGAACTCTATATGCAACTAATGAGCCAAGATCTGCAGTTGAGGAGAAATGGCGGCGGTAGATTCAATAACGACCAGGTTGCAAGGATCAATGAGCTCATAGGCTCAAGCAAGTCCGCTCAAGAAGCATTGTTGAAACGCTGCTGCCCATTCCTTCTGGATACTGGCTCAGGCGGATTGCTGCAGACTCCTGTGACTTGTGACCATCTCATCGTCACTAGAACAGAGCAGCTCAACGAGCTAATCAATGATGTGAGATCGAAGCTCAAATTGGCCATATGGCTCTTTCAAGAGTTAGGCGAGCCTCATAGGCATCTGGATGACTTTGTTAACAATGTCTCTGGACATAACTTTGGGGACACAGATGTCACCTCGCAGCTGCAGCCTCTAATAGATGCAGCAATGAGGCAATGTAAAGCAGAAGACTGGAACAATTTCTTCATCAGTGATGAAGAACTTGCGCAAATGAAAAGCGCCGGCAAGCCTGCCACGGAGAATGCTGAATGCGGCCAACCAGAGGAGGAAGACGACATTGCGGAAGGTGCTGATGGTTCTGGATCTGCCGTCCAAGTAACACAAGATCCTGATACGAAATCCCAACGCTCTACCAAGAGGGTAAAACTTGAGGTAGACGCTGCTCCCGCCACAACAACACAACCTCTGCGAAAAGACCAGTCATGGCCGAAAAAACCAGGGCACGATGACCTCGCCCCTGCGTTACGTGAGGTCGCGATGACTCTTCGAAGCCTCACGCGGGAATGGGTTTTTCGACAGAGAGCACTGAGGTTCCTGGCTTCTCTACGGATGCTGCAAAGTGATCGCCAGCTCCTTTCTTGCTCTGTTTGTGGCCGTGAGACAGCGGACCGCACCCAAGTCCATGTTCTCGGCCATTGCGGTCATATCGTGTGTGACGACTGTGTAAAAGCAGTCGTCATGAAAGAGGAATGCGCCGTCAATGGCTGCAGAGGAGCCGCACCGGAGTACCGGGTGATTAGAGCGCCCATGCTGGTTGAAGGCAACGACGCCTCAGTAGGACCATCGTATGGTGGATCCAAGCTCGATGCCCTCGTTCAACTACTCCAGGATCCCTCCCGGGTACCACACGATGATCAAGTCATCGTGTTTGCGCAATTTCCCGGAGTCCAGGAAGCCGCAGCCCAGGCACTGCAGCGCGCCTCGATCTCCTGTCTGGTAATAGGACATGCTGATCGAAGCGCCGCGCAAAAGGTCCTGGATTTCCAGGCGAACAAGGCCAAGGTCCTCGTCTTGAACATAGGAGGAGAGAACGCGGCCGGGTTGTAAGTGAACCATCAGTGAACCAGGAATGAGCTGCTTTTGACTGCTTGAGACCCCTTTAACTGACTTTCCTCCTCTACTCAGGAACATCCAATGCGCGAACCATGTGGTCTTCCTTTCCCCGCTGCTTGCAAGCAGCCAATACGACTATGAGGCGACAATGACGCAGGCCATTGGTCGCTCCCGCCGGTATGGACAGAAAAAGCATGTCCATATCTACCATTTCCTGGCCGGGGCGACCATCGATGTCAATATCCTGCAACAGAGACGCGGAAGAGTCGTTGTGAAGCGGGGGGAGGAGTTCGTCCTGGTGCCGGAGGAAGAGATCCAGGGGTCGGACGTCCGTGGTTGGGAAGGGCTTTCTCTTGGAGAAGGCGTTGTTTAGGCTGAGGGAGGGAGATAAATTGCAAATTGTTTCTTTTTTGATGTGAATAATACCAGAATTATATTGAAATTTCTAATCCCGAACTGATAATATCACGCCAGCAACCACTTCCGTGTCACTCGAGTACCAGGAGATGTGTCTAGAATAGCGGACTGGTGAGTGCCAGAATGCCATATTAGTAGAGTAACTTAGGACTCATGAAGATATCTCGCATGGTCAACTCTGGGATTGCTATGAGCTATATTAATCACACCGGGCACCAGTGGACTACAGTACATAGCGCATGAACTAGTAATTTCTCAAGGTCTAGTAAACCGAAATTCAAGTTCCCATCTGATGGGCACCAGAATACCATATTACTACTATCTAACCTTCTCTAAACTAGATAGCAAGGGCGGGTGTCTGGACATGATTTCATAAGCCTGTATATTAACTATATTGTCCATACTCTAGTTAAGAGAGACTACCGGCTAAACAACAGTAGAATGAGAGCTAAAAGTCTTAAAGTTGGTATTGAATTTATGGTTTCCATAATAACGACCTCCACTATGCCGTTCTCGGCCATGTCCCATCTATCCGACGAAGAGAACATGCAGCATAGATGTACTGTACATAAACATTCGGCAATGTCTTCCTGTCTCCGCTACCGGTCATATAAAATTCCAGAGACACGAAAACTTCCGATACACCAGATGAGATATAAGAAAAATCAAAAACGCTTAGATTTCTCCGTCCTTCCGCATCATCGTCTCCGGGTTCCACTCCACGGTCTGCAGGTTGGTCAGACCGGCGCTGTTCTCGCAGGACTGTCTTCCGCTCAGAGGACCGGGAGCAGGAACCTTGACCACCTTTCCACTGTCAGCAGCAAGTGCAGACTCCTTCAGAGCAGTCAGGAGAGACTTGGTGGACTCGGGCGTGAGATCCTCATAGTAATCGTCGTTGATCTGGACCATGGGAGCATTGACACAGGCTCCAAGGCACTCAACCTCGATAAAGGTGAAGAGGCCGTCCTCAGTGGTGTGACCAGGAGTGATTCCGAGGTGTTCAGTGATGGCCTTGACGATCTTGTCACTGCCGCAGCCACCAAGCTGGCAGGGAGTCTATCAAGAGTTGCAAATCAGCCAAAGGTCGCTCAAGAGGTAATTCGGCGGAAAGGGCCGATCCTGTTAATGAGACTATTTGATTCACGTACCGTTGTGCAAACCTGAACGAAGAACTTGCCAACCGGCTCCCGGTTGTACATGGTGTAGAAAGTCGCAACCTCGTACACACGCATGGGTGGCATCTCCAGAATCCGCGCCACTTCGTTCATGACACTGATGCTGGTGTAGCCGTGCTGACGCTGGCCAAGGTCAAGAATGGGCATGACAGCCGCCTTCTTGTACTGCGGGGGGTAGCGCTTGAGAATCTCATCGATGAGGGCGAGGTTCTGAGCGTTGAACTTGAAAGGGATCGAGGGGTTGTTCTGCGGGCTATTGCGGTGCTGGAAGACGTGAATCATTAGTATTCGAGTGATACATCCAATTGAGACAGAATCATGTCGCCTGCGGACCACTTATGGCCCATTGTCGGCGACAATTGAACGGTGGTCTGGAAACGTACCACGAACAGAGACTCGCTCCGCAGCTGCGATCCAACCGAGAAGGGGCGGCATTGTCGCTTGGAAATCTGGGGGATGAGTTGGCGGCCGACCCGCGGGAAGGAGGGGATCAATTTTGAAGCCATCACTGGCGATGTGAAGGCGCGAGAGCACTGGACGGGCACACTGTCTCGACTCTCGCGATGTTGGCGATGTCGATGCCGAGTTGGGGTCGATGGAGGCATTTTGCCGTAGCTCGCGCAGCCAATCAGCGCCTGCGGATTTGCCGCTCACGTCAGCCAACAGGATCGCCTGCACGTAAGCAGGTCGATAATTATGAGAGTTCCTCTCCTGAGTCTCCTCTGATCCTGATCTATCTGAAAGACGTATCTGACATTACACTTACATGGCTAAACTATGATTATATGGTACGAAAACGAATCAAGTATCAATATCTCGTATGTCTCATTACATTATACGATGAAGCCAAAAGGATTGTTGTTGCAACTACATCCCCCCCTGATCGAAAGAGCTCCGTGTATAGATAGTCCCCTTCCACCAGCGTTCATCATCCCGTCATTATGATACGTTGGGATCCCATATCACTCAAATCCTGCTGTAATACGCTCGTGTCGAATAATGCAGATGGGATTCAGATCCCTCCCATGAAAAAAAAAAGGCCCCTATTCAGTCGATACGGACCGAAACCCCCAGGCCATCCATGACCTCAGACGTTCTCAAGTTTATAGACCTCATAAGCAGGCTCCTCGTACGGATGTGCCTTCAACAAAGCCTGGACAGCATCAAGCATCGTCTTTCTCCCAACGCAAAGTATCTCCACCTTCATCTCCTCGACACTCTCAACAGTGCCCACCGCGCCTATGTTCGGATTCGCGCCCTCGCCAGGAAGAAACTGCCCAATCCCGGGAGATTGGAAACACGCTTTGCTATATTTCCCTCCTGGAAATGTACCGGCACCAGTAGCGAAGACGGCCTCTTTGCAGGCTTCGAGGGAGGGGTGGGGTACGAAGAAGATGAGCTTGTAGCGGTCCGCGGACGGCGTGGTCATCATGGATCTGTAAATGTAGTTGTGTCGGGCCTGTAGAGAGATGAGCTGTTTGGATGGTATGACAACCTGTCTGCGACAGAGGCTGAGAACTCTGGGAATCTGGGTCATGGTATTTAGATGCTTGGTCGGTTGGGTCGTGAAACTTGTTAGCTTGTTAGTTATTTATGTCGGCATTGATGTTTTTGATTAGTCATCACATTTATGCGCATCATTTGTGCAGAAAAAAACATAGATACATCTCTACAAAATTCTAGTACAGCCCTCAGGAAATGAAGATTAGGCGGACACCATCAATCTCGACTTCAATAAATAATGATACGCTCTTGAATGTAGTGGTTTCTGCACTACTATATATGAGATTTCCGAAAAAGACCATGGAATTGAGTTGATGTTAACATGCAGGGACCAGCAGATAATGCTCAATTAAAACATAGTCCAATGGACCAATAAAAGGAGAACAAATTAGCATGTTCTAGATTTCATAGTAATTACATCAAATACTAAGTCAGGTTATATATAGACTCTAGCAACATTGCGTTGCCCGAAATTAATAGGTAGTCAGTATCTCTCTGATCTTACGGAGCATTGCCATATGTAGTCACGATTTTAGAGCATTGTCATGTGCTATTCAATGCAAGACGACTCGCCCATGCTGTTCGATAAATTATTGAATATAGTCATGTTTTGGAACCTCAGCGACATCTGCAGTAATGGCGTCCTCGAACGTGATTGGAACAGTATCGTTAAACTTTCCCGCAATCTCTTCGAGTGTAAGTCCCTTGGTCTGTGGTTGATGGCTGTTAGTAGGGAATTATGCGGTGCTACTGTGATATATAAATCATACCTCTGGAAATAGGATTATAATTGCAATAATGCAAGGGACGGTAACCGCCACGAAGACCATGTAATATTCCCATCCAATATTAGCAAAAGCGGTGCTAGCCGGCGTACTGTATGCTAAGGCATTGATGAAGAAGGCGACGTATGTTATACTCGCCCCGTAGCTGCGCAGATGTGTAGGCCATATTTCTGAGCCATATACGTAGCCGGTGCATTCGATTGTAGCGGTGAACCAAACAGCGACGAGAAAGTACATAGCCACACACGCATTGATTCCCGGTTTATAGTTGGTGGCTAGATAGTATTTTTCAAGGGCAGCTTCGATGGAGAGAATAATAACTGACCCAAACCCTCCAATCACTGTCGTCACTCTTGGTCAGCGATCGACTTTATTCAGGTAAAGCAAGCGATACGTACCAAGGAGACGTTTTCGACCAACTCTATCCAATAAGGAAACGTTGATAATACAGCCGATCTGCAAGCATACAGTCCATACGACGGAGAGACCAAGTTGCAGGGTGGTATCGAATCCCAGAGAGGCAAACAAAGTTGGTGTTAAAGTAGCTATAGCGTTCATTCCAGTACTCTGTCCCATTGTCCAAACCAGAGCGGTGCAGATAAACCGTTTGCGCAGGGAAGGGGTCCTGAGGATGTAAAGATAACCACGGGGTAGGTGCTGCTCCAATTCAACCTGCGCCTTAATCTGGACCATCTCTGCATTGGCAACCTTGCCGGTAGGGTCAGACTCCGTTCTGTGAAGACGCTGGAGAATTGCGGAAGCTTCGTCAAATCTTCCTTTCTCTGCGAGCCACCTAGGTGACTCGGGGAGAAAGAATATGGAGACGAGCAGCAGAACGGCAAAGAATATGTGGACGATATAGTTAAGCCGCCATTGATACTCATAGGTCACAAAGCTGAAGCCAAGGGCTAGAGCGGAACCGATAATATATGCCCACACGATGCACACACCTTGCAGCCCTACCAGAAGACCACGCGTATGTGGCGGGGATATTTCGCTCATATAAACAGGGCAATTACTGATTGTCATCCCCCCAGCGACACCAGCAATTACTCTCCCTACAATGAACATGGCAATGTGAACGGCGCCAGCATCCAGAGCATTTCCCAGGATGAAAAGGATGGCCGCTACACCTGTTGCTGCGCGACGACCCCAAGCGCTGGAAATGAGCGATTGCAGGATAGAACCAATGATGGCACCACCGAGGAAACTGGAAGGGCGAGCAGCATTAGCAATCCTAATGCAGCCTAAGTTCTGGAAATACCGACCCTCCAATGATTCCATCGGTTCTAGCAGAAGCATCAGGCCCAGAAAGGAACTTCTCTATGAATGTTGGTTCACCGAAGGATCCAGAAATCACGTTATTAGCATATCCGAAATTGAAACTACCCAGGCCGGCGGCGATGACAGTCTAGAAATGTCAGTATTGTGATTCCAAGTGACGCCAAAGATAAAACTTACCAGAATATTAACCCAACTTGTATGTGGGTTCGTTTTTGGCTGCTCCATGGTCGTTTATGTCATTACCGGTAAAATGGTGAACTGCAAATAAAAGGAAACGATGGAAGAATACAGCCTGGAACAGTTCAAAGGTTCCAAGTTGGACTCTACGAGGGGGGGCAAAGAGATATCAAGCAGCCTAGGGCGACATCCGCAGTTCCTCAACTCTTGCTTCTCTTATGGCTATTTCAATGATTGGATTTTGCATCCCTGCTTGCCAGCTCATTGCGCCGGTTGACTGAACCCTGCATGTTGGTTTGGATCGCGAATCATGTACTAGCGAACGCTACCATATAACAGGCATTGCGACGTAGCTGATTCATATTGCATTGGAGTCCTGGCGCACAGCGATAGAAGTGCCAAAAGTAGCCAGTCCTGCCACTCAATTGTGTAACCCATGCCGCTTGAATAAATGAGTTGGAGGTCGTGCTGAAAACATGAGTCCATGCCCCCCTCCATGGGTGGAATTGTCAACGGCGTTATCATACTCCGTATCTTCATGTTTCTACTGCTACTCTGGGCGACAATCGCTTCTCTGAACAGTTTAACCTGCAGAAGTAAGTAAGTGCCACGTCGTGCCGCAAAATTATCAATGGCGTTTGCGGGTATGCGAAAATCAGATATAATAGTACCATTATGCAGAATGGATTTACCAGTTCAAATATAACCTTTCTCTCAAATTCCGTTCTATCTACTGCGTTCCAAACCAAACGACACTTCTATTCAAGTCGATTACAGAATACATTATCCAGAACAATGGCACCCACTGAAAGAGGAGATTACAATACTATGCTGAAGGAGCTGAATGCTCCCAAGGCGAAAGTTTTCCCTGTTCTCGAGCACAAAATTGCAATCGTGACTGGTGCAGCTGAGGGCATGGGGAAAGCGACCGCTCTTCTGTTCGCTGCGTCAGGCGCCAGTGTCGTACTAGCAGACATCAATGAGCAGGGTGCTCAAGACGTTGCGAAAGAGATTGAAAAAGCCGGCGGACAGGCCTATGCAGTCAAAGTTGACATCTCGGACTCAGAAAATGTACAGAACCTCATTCAACAAACGGTTGCCAAATTCGGAAGACTTGATTGTGCTGTCAACAATGCGGCCTTGACTCCTGACGGAGCACCCCTGACGGACTTTGATGAGGCTTATTTTGATAAACTGATTTCAATCAACCTGAAGGGAACAGCGCTATGCAATAAATACGAAATTGCTCAAATGCGCAAACAAGGAACTGGGGGCTCCATTGTGAATATCTCTTCAGTTGTGGCCTATCATGCGCATCCCAATATGGTGGCCTATACTATCGCCAAACATGGCATTGTTGGCTTGACCAAACAGGCGGCTAGCGAGAATGGCGATGCCAATATTCGGGTGAATACAGTTGCGCCTGGAGCTATTTTGACAGAAATGTCAGCCAAGGCAATGATCACCATGGGGACTGACCATACGGAGTACGCACGCCAGATGAGCATGCTGGGCCGCTGGGCAGCTCCGCACGAGGTTGCTCAGGCGTCCCTTTGGTTGTGCTCAGATGCTTCTTCATACGTGACCGCGACGACCTTGCCTGTCGACGCTGGCTCTCATACGAAATGAGCATCTTTTGAGATTACTATCTCTGCAAGAGGTTATTTGAGAAGTAGCCATGTTCCTATTTGCCTACTCAGAAATGTCGAATGGCTTCTAGGCGTGTCTTTGCATACACTTGTTGATCATCAGACGCGTCTATGGTCTGTTGTTTTCACGGAATATATAGTATGTGGTTAAATACATAGGTGGTATCTTTGCGCTAACTTGACCATCGAGATATCGTATCTGGAAGTTTGTCCACTTTTTTCCCCCGTATATCATGTTGAATTAGACAACGGGGATTGAAACTGCACAAGGTGGAAGAACAGAAACAGTTCGGAAGGTGATAAAGAAACTTCATGCGAGAGCGGTATATTTTCGAACATGGTCATCGATCCGCTGCAGAAGTTCCAGCTTCCTTTCTTCATGGATCCAGCTGCCTCTAACGCTATTTTCCGCAATGGTTCTCCACTCCTGAATAGATAGCCTAAAGGCGTCCTCGACCGCACAATAGTTCGACAAGATAAACCCGCCAAAGTAGGCTGGATCATCGCTGTTTATCGAGAACCGAACGCCTGCATCGAGGAATTGCCTGACGGGAACTTGCTCTATCTTCTCAACGCCACGTAGACGGACATTAGACACTGGACAGAGCGTCAACAGAATTCCTTCCTTGGCCACATATTCTAGCAGCTGCTTGTCTTCAATCAGCCTTCTGCCGTGGTCAATGCGCTGTGATCCAATCTCAAGGGCTGCACTGATGTATGATGGGTCTCCTTCTTCACCAGCGTGTGCAGTCAACTTGATGCCCTTCGACTTCGCAGACGCGTAAATCTCGCGAAACATGTCCTTCGGGGGCCCAACTTCTGACGAGGAGCAACCGATCCCGTGCACAATCCCTGCTTCAAAATGGCCATTTTCCAGTGCTCGGTTGTACACCCGATGAGCGTCATCGAGAGGGAGGTGCTTGACGAAACAGAGAATGAGCTTTGTCGTCATTTCAAACTCCCGTTCTGCGCGCTTGCACGCAGCGCTGAAGCCGTCCACCACCGTTTCGTACGCAATGCCACGGTTAACATGGACCTGAGGATCGAAGAAGACCTCCGCATGGTGCACGCCGTCCGCATTCGCTTGCTTGAAGTACTCCCAGGCCAGTGCTTCAAAATCTGATTCACTGATCAAAACGGACATTCCGGTGAAATAGAAGCCAAGAAAATCATCTAGATTCGAAAAGTGACCGTAACGCTCTTTCAACGCTTCGGGAGATGAGTATGCTGGGTTATCTTTGGGGTCTGGCAGCTTGATGGAATTCCTATCTGCCAGTTCGAAAATGAGGCTGGGGGTCAGACAGCCTTCCAGGTGCACATGATGTTCGCATTTTGGCAAGCCTGCGAGGAAGTCATGAAGAGGGCTGCGACACATTGCGGCTGGTGGAAGTCGTCGCTGTCTGGACTCTCGACAACGTCAAAAGAAACCAAAGAGAAAGCAACAAATAAGTATGTACAGAGCCACAGCGATGCAGGAATGAGAAAGTTAAGTATACAGCAAAAGAAGGTACGGCGACAAAGGAAATTGCTTCTTGCTTCTTTATCCAAAGCACACTCGTAACAGATATGGCGATTCCATGTCTTATGAGGTTATCTAGAGACCCTCCGCTCTGGCCCTCTTGATAGCCACCGCAGTGGGTCTGAGCGGAAGAGAAATTTCGACGGACTGAGTTGCCCAAGTCTATAAGCGCTTCTAACGGCCCAGTCCGTCGGAGGCGACCGATGGAAGCTATCTCCCGAGTCCAGACAGGCAAAAGCAGTTACCAGTGAGATTGATAATGATGGATATTGAAATCTTGGAAAATATCTCGCGTTTTGTGACACAAAGATAATGCTAGATTTGTTCAAGGTTCAAAACGAACTGAGATAAGAAGTCTAGATAGTTAACTAAGTTAGTGTTGTACTGATTATCTCATCTCCAAACCTAGCTATTTGATAACCTAACCTTGTCGCTTGTGCAGAAAACCATAATATTTAAAAGGACCATCTATCCACTGCGATTGCCACTGTAAAGTGCAATAGAAGATGTAAGTTCATATGGTAATATGTAGAATTACATCGCACAATAGATCCCAGCCATTAAGACAAAGATCGTGGAGAATATCGCAGATATATGACCGATGTAGTACTTGTACTACCCCTTGATCCGCCTTGAGTGAGATGACAAGTGAATAAAGATATTGAAAAAAGTTTTTGTATTACCAGTAACCTCGGGAGTATCCATATAGACAGCATATCTATACTTGCACATGACGGTAGGACAATGCAGACTATACGCTAATAGACATAGACAACGACGCCATATCCCCAGGTGGCACTCTGCTGATACCATCTAAGAACAAACACGTGCCATATGAACACCAGAGAGAAATTTTACATTTGTTGGAGCAATATTTGGAGGAATATCCTTCATAGTCATGAGTTCCAGTTCTAAGCATATCGGGGTCCTCTCTGGGTTAATGACACCCCGTCATGAAATCCTCACCTCATAGAGAAAATAAATCATGGCATACATATCACAACATAAGCTAGAAAAACAATCTACTAAATAATTAGCCCCTGTCAAGAATAATATCAATGGTTCATTTGATTATTTTCTATGGAGGGGGCGCGCAGCAGCCTAAGGCCGCAATGCGATATAGACTAGGTTAATTTCGGCTTCCGACGTCATCGTCCAGGCCGAAATTCCGACTCATAATAATTCTAGAAAAACGCAAACCGAACCCTTTCGCCAGTTCATTTCCACCGCTTTCGATTTCTGATATACAGCAGACAGAGAGAGACGGTTCCTTCCGCTTGCTCTTGCACCGTATTTAATGACCAGCTAATTCCGGAAGTCTTTATCACGAGAATTGCTCTACGAACCCCCTCACTCCAACCCCACTGTTGAAATCCTGACATCGCTGAATCAGAAAGTAAGATTCGAAAAAAAAAGTGCCAAGCTATTTGGAGAAGAAAAGAAGCATCCACTAATATCCAATTAAGATTGCCTGTGGGCCTCTGGCCTCACCTGTCACGGTGATTCTAGTCTTATCTCGGGCGCGCTCAATAGCAGCACGTCCTCGGTGCAGTTTCCAGCACTACTTCGCGACCATGTCCACCAAAAGGACGACGCAAATACTCCCTGTTCACGCACTGAACGCAGAGGGGCCTGGAACCAAGACCCTGGCACAATGGTGGGCGGATGAACGCAGTCGAGGAACCCCCGAAGCCGCCGCAGTCGCTAAAGCAGCGGAGGCGCTTCGTACAACAGACATACCAGTTGCATTCCCAACGGAGACAGTATACGGTCTTGGAGCAGATGCGACACGGAGTGATGCTGTTCAGGGCATATATAAAGCCAAACAGAGGCCCTCTGATAATCCGTTGATTGTCCATGTGGACTCGATGGACATGTTACAACGCATTCTGAACCCCGCAGACGAGAAATACTCTCTTACGGCCGCTTCGGAGCAGGATATGATTCCACCCATCTATAGGTCTGTAATAGCTAAGTTCTGGCCTGGGCCCTTGACGATTATCCTTCCGAATCCGCCGCACTCAGTCCTAGCAAAGGAAGTCACCTCGAATCTTTCCACATTTGGCGTGCGGATGCCAGCCTCACCTTTCGCCCGTCTCCTTATTCATGTCACCGATCGACCACTGGCAGCTCCCTCTGCAAATGCCTCGACGAAACCATCTCCAACAACCGCGCAACACGTGTATCACGATCTGCATGGACGCATAGATTTGATTCTAGACGGAGGTCCTTGTGGTGTAGGAGTAGAGAGCACGGTCGTCGATGGTCTTTCAAATCCTCCAGCTATCCTTCGACCGGGTGGCATTGGGCTCGAGGAGCTACGACAATGTCAGGGCTGGGAGAACGTCGTCATCGGATACCGTGATAGTTCTCTAGATGTGAAGGAAGTACCGCGTGCTCCCGGGATGAAATACAGACACTATTCCCCTCGAGCAAAGGTTGTCCTCTTCGAACCGGAATCAGACCCAGCATCTGTCGCAAATCACATCCGCAAGGATCTGGAGAACAGCGCAGTTTGCGCACACAACATCGGAATCGTTCGGACCAGAAACTGGGGCAAATACCTAGGGCTCAACGCAGGACACGAATCTTCCGAACAGACCAGGGAAGAACCAGAAACGAAGGCAACGCTGGACTTATTCAAGATGCCCATAGAATCCCCCTGCGGTAGTTCCCCCAAGACTATCTTGAAGGAAGTCTACGACTACCCGCTCGGATCAGACGTCGAGGCCATCGCGCGAGGTCTCTTCTCCGCTCTTCGTACGCTAGACAGCATAGGCGTCGAGATCATCTACGTCGAAGGAATTGCAGATGACGAAGGAGATCTCTCTGCGGCCGTCATGAACCGGCTCAGAAAGGCAGCAGAGGCGGAAGTCAAGGCTTAGAGTTTAGAAAAAAGGAAGAATGGATGTTCCTTTTTTTAGCTGCGATATCAAAGTCATGAGACGCATTTAGATTTCTTTTCTTTCTTTGTGCCCTTTTTTTTTCCCATTCGGTTTATTTTGTCTTTATGGTTCTTCTTTCTTCCTTCCTATTTCTCGGGATGCCCATTTCTTGTTCGCATTGCTCTAGAGCTCTCGTTTTTTTTTTTTTTTTTTACTTTTGGCATTATTCGCTACATAGGTATGATTGCATCATGATTGAGTGATCTGTTAATAATCTTCAGTAGTAGAATGAATATACTAGCTTCTTCTTATTCTTCTATTCCCTCTATATATGAAGTCCCTGATATTTGTATGCGTTGTAGTACATATTCAAAAGGCTTTATCAATATGATGTGAGAAAACCGGATGTTTTTTTCTAAATGATCTACTGCGCAACCTGAGTACATACTTAACTAGTAGTTCAGATCAGATACTGATAACTTAGTACATACATACGTACATACATAAGACTGATTAGATCGTCCTGGATGGCTCCAGTTCTATCTATCACAGGAGATTAACTATCCATGTTTATATTTTATGTACATACATACAATATGTCTATCTCGCCCTACATATATCTCTAAATATCTTCTCAAGACCGGGGGTTATTAACTACTTCTTCTTTCCTCCCTTACCACCTTTTCCTCCTTTCTGGTTACTCTTCCCCTTCCCTTCTCCTCCTTTTCCGCCTCCTCCTCCTCCTCCACCAGCTCCACCGCTACCTCCACCAGTTATGATCCGCACTTTACCAACCGGGACAGTATTCACGATTTCGGCCTCTCTCCAAGCCTTAATGAGCTCTGCTTCGCGCGCACGCATCCTCTCCGCAGTTGCCCTATCGACGCCTGTTTCTTCGATATCTTCCTTCTTGCCCTTCTTCGCACCAGCAGTTGATTCGGCGATCCAACGCCCGAGGATCTCCTTGACTGCTTTGCCCTTCTTGACTGTTCCGGGTTGTAGCTTTGCGCGATACTTGTATCTGGTGAGTGCGGCCCATGGTGCGCAGACTGGTATAGCGGCGAGGACTTCGTCCTCTGGTAGTGGTGTTCCCACTAGGGCTGGAAGCCAGGAGAGGTCAGCGGCTTCTGCTTTGGCGGTTTCTTCGTCGTAGTCGTCTGCGCCCTCTTCTAGAGCGGCTAGTCGTCGGCGCTCTGCTTCTGCGGCACGGTTGTGCTGGGCTCGACGGCGTTCTCTTTGTGCTTCTATCTCGGCGTTCCGCTTCTCTCTTTCTGCTGCGGCTATGGCGGCTTTGTTGGGCTTACTGGTAGAGCCAAGGAGGCGCAGGGCAAGTTCTCGGTCCTCCTCGTCTTGATCGGCGTATTTCGCAGCGGCTTTCTTGGCTTTGGCTCTCTTTCCGCGAGAAAGAGCCGCTGATTTCGCTACCACAGAGGGTGCGGTCGAAGGGGAAGGTGGATCAGCTGCTATGGAGGAAGCATCATCTGCTACGTCGCTGGAGGCCGTTGGGACATCCAGCGGCTTTCCCTTCTTCGCTAATCGTTTTTCTCGAGCTGAAAGGTGTCTGCGACCGGCTTGTGGGCGAGATGACTCCTGCTTCCCTTCCTTTGTGGGACCGGTTTCTTCTGGAGCTTCTTGGTCCTTTTCGTGCTCTTCCGCTTTTTCTGAGCCTTCCTCGTCGTCGGATCCCTCCTCGTCGAAGTTTTCTGGTTTTATACCTTCCTCCACAGGTTCAGAGGCACCGCTTTGCAAAGGGTTCTCGGCTGGCTTCTCGTCAAGATGGTCATCTTCATCTGACTCGGGGCTGTCTTCTCGCTGATCCGCACGTCCCGCATCGTTATCCGAAGATGTTTGCTCCTTATCGTCACCGGGATTCTCAGCAGGAGTCTCAATGCTTGGAGTTTCTCCTTTCTGGGTCTCGGATTCCGCCACTTGTTCCGTTACCGGTGTTTCCTCTGCGTCGTGCAGTCGGTATTTCCTGTGGTTCTGGACGCTTTCCATGCTCACCTGGAACATGACAGCAAAGCCAAGGACTAGCTGTGATGGAGCGAGGAAATTCTTTTCGCCTTTTATGACAAAACCTCCCGTGACCAGCAATTCACCAGTTTCAGTGGTTTTGGACACTTGGTTGGCATGTACCCACCAAGCCGACATGACGGCTTTAGAGTCCCATGCAACCGACGTGGCTACTGAGTAGTTACCGGCCTGGGACAGAGTACCAGGAGGAATAGGAGCATCAGACTGTCCGGGTCGGTTCTTCACAATCATAGGCGTGGCGCCCTCCAGGTCCGCATGCACAAAGATATCACCTTTCTTGAGGTATCGTCGGTAGAGGATCTCGGTCTGATGAGTATCGCGGCCGCTACTTCACAGTTAGATAATGACCCGTGGGCCACGAGACAAGCTAACTTACCCTAATACTAAATACCCTTCTGAAGAAATAAAGAATAGGTACTTCTCAAACCAAAACGGCTTCCGCGCCGGCCTAAGAACCTGCTTCTCCTGTTTGAGACTCTTTTTGAGATCTTCTGTGACCTTCTTCTCGTGGCTCTTGAGTGCCTTTGTTGATGATTGGGCTGTCTTCTGCTCTTTGACAGCAGCCACTTTCTTCTGCGTATAGTATTGTGTGGCGTTAGCCCATGGGGACAAGCCCAGATCGATGTCAATTTCCAGCAGCTGAGAAGCGGTCGGACCCTGCCTTTCATCTTCGCTGTCTTTCTCACTCTCTGATTCGGATTCGCTTCCGTATGCTTCGTCATCTTCCGCTTCCTGCTGGAAATTCTCTTCGCCGAGGAGGAGAGTAACCGTATTTTCATACAGTTTCAGAGGAAGCTTAATGATCTTAGCAACAGGGTTATTCCTATTCTGCTCCATCTCGATCAATCTCGCCATCTCCACCCAGTCCATACCTTGGGCAATCAACCCATTGACCGCATCCATAGCCTCTTGCACTCGGAAGACATTGGCCTCGATGGCCTCGGCCTTGCGGATGTGTATTTCTTGAGCCTGCTGCAGAGTACCAAGCCGCTTTTCATGTTCCTGTCTCACAGCTTCCAGTTTGCGTCTAGCCGCCTCTTCACGCTCTGTCAACCTCGACTCCAGCTTCTGAGACTCTAGTGATGAAAAGTACTCGTCAACTGTCTTGTTAAATCCGTCAAATTCCAAAATCGTGGTTTCGGGCTTCCCTTCAAATTGCTGAGGCTTGAACGGATGGAAATCTTCGTAGAGGTAAGAGGTCTTCTTCTCCGCTGTCGAATCCGGGACCGGTCGTTTATCCTCCTTCGCCACAATGTATCCAGGATGCTTGTCGCTCGCAGACAGCTGCTTGCTGACGCTTTCAGCTTCTTCCAAAACACCCATCAACTTCTCCAGGATCCCGTCGTCCTGCAGAACCTGGTCTGGAAGGATACTAGAGTCAAATCCCCTTACTACAAATGCATGATCCAATAGCAGGGGAGGATATTCGGGAAACCCTAACGAAAGAGCTTTCCTGAGAAGATCTGCTGACTTCTTCTTCGACTTCTTTGCCGCCTCCTGAGCAGCTCCAGATGCAATTGCCTTTTGTAGTGTCTCCTTCACTCTATCTTTTGACAGTTCCGGAACCCCTCCATAATTCTGCTTGTTCGTCACAGTATACTTCAATCCGACCTTCACTTCCTCCTGATCACCTCCAGCAGGAACCTGGCGGAACAGAGTTAGGATAGTGTAATCACGGTCCGTCAGGATTATGTTTCCGCCCGCGAAGAACTCGAGAAAGAGGTGGTATACGCCATCGCTAAAGACAATGTCGATGATGCGGTCCGTCCCAATTTGCGTAACGGAAGTAACCCGTCTGGTTTTGAGCGTCTTTCGAAGCCGCGTAACGAACGGAGAAGGGGCAGTGGCAGTCGAGCGCGAGTATTCTGTGAGGTGGCAGCGGAAACCAGAGTCGACAATGAGCTGTTTGCGATTGTCTGGCTTTGCAAGTTTGAACAGGAAGATGCGCTGCGCATTGCTATATGTCAGCACACATGTACATACATACCGGAATCCACATAACGACTGTTGAACACGATTACGAGGTGAAAAAAGACTAACTCACCGAAGAGAGATCATAGATATTCGAAACCCGCAAACTAGTCAGCGCAGAGTCAAGCTCGCGGGTTATGACCTGGTGTAATAAAACCTCTTTGTCAGTATCCGGAGCATCCCATCCCACATTTCGAAGAGACAGTCTTCCAATGCTTTTCGTACCTTGACATCTAGCGACGAGAACCTCTGCTTCATCTTGAGCCTTTGCCGCAGGCGTTTGTCAAGTGATTTGCGCACAGGGAAGAGTTTGACGAGGGGTCGCGTGTGTGAGAATTTGAAAGGGCTCTTCCGACTCGGAGTCTTCTCTGTAGCGTGACGTATGCGGGGCAACATTCAATAATAAGTAATAATGCTCCGTCCCTGACTGACTCCGCGGGCGCTTTTCCACTATTAGCTGAGTTACTAACTACCACTATTGATATTATTACAGAAATACGACTGCTTCTAACTCCAGCTTCGTTAAATGTGAACATGATAAATGTATAAAAGCAATCGCCTACGTTAGTCTCTTATATTCCGAACTGAACAATCCCAGTGCACAGCAGCAGCCAATATGTATTAACCAAATCCATTCTCAGCCCGAAGAACATCTATTTGAAACTCGCGAACGCATTTCTAATGGACCGACAAGATCCTCACAGATGGTAAAAAATAGGGAATCTTCTCCGAAGAGGCATAATCATGTCATAAAGAAAATAAAAAGTAATAAAAAGGTAAAAAACCCCCTTCGCGCCAAAGGCCCAGGTGCCAAACGAGACGAGACGGTAGTCATATATGCGAAATAAGAAACCAGAAACATCCTCGACCATATCTCCTCGTTGCCTCCCGCTCCCCGTATGATTATTTTTTGTTTCTACAGCCCTTGTCGTAGACCCTCTGCCAGTCTTCTCTTACCGAACTCCCAGGCGTTGAGCAGACCTTGTTCGGAGAGATCGATGCTCTTCATGTTAGGGGCGTCGGGAGCAGGGGCACGGCTGACGCGCGAAGCGATCAGGACAGGGTCCGTCTCCAGGATGATCCCGTCGTCGATGATCTCGTCAATCGCAAGGGCAACAAGGTCGTAGTTCTCAACAATCGTACGCTTGTCCGTAGCGCCCCTGAAACAAACACGCAAGAAGTCTCGTCAGCCAAACCGCAAATGACAATTGACTGACCAGAGAATTCGATAGTAGCGGGTCATGCTTACTTGAATAGGATTCCCAACGCATCCCGTAACGACAGGACGACATTGTAAAGCAGAACCTCGTTCTCCTCTGCGCCTCCAACCACGTAGAGCATCACATCACTCTCCATCTTGAAGACCACCACGCGGTTATCATACAGGATCACATCGCTGGTCTGCTTGTTGGTCTTCTCCATCAAACCCTTCTCGAACGCCTTCTGCTCCTTCACTGTCGGATAGGGGTTCGCGCCAGGATAATCCGTCGAATTGGCGGGCACGCCCGCCGGGGGGTGCGGCGGAGAGTAGTACTTGGCGTAGATGCGGGAGCTGTCGTCGGTCGACATGATGAGGACCGCGTTGACGGAGAAGAGGGACAGTGAGCCAGGCATGGTGGGCGGTATTGAATTCAACTGGAATGAACAATGTTTTTGACTCTGTTCCCCGGATAGTGCTGTCTTGTAATATGTTCTGGTGGGAATTGTTAGTTATTCCGTCCAGCTTTCCCGCACGGTGGTCTCTCGCGCAACGGGCGACTTGGCCGCAAGTCCAGCCCCGTCGGTGGCCGCTCCAACATTGTTCCGTCGGGCTCATCAGGTACTGTACAGTCTGTTATTGCTTCAGTGTCCAGGAGTCGACATCCTTGCTTCTTATTATTATCGAAGCCATTGTTAGAACTTTTGTGTATATTTAAATACATGCCACTCTATTTGTGGATTTGTTCCTGCTAGGTGTCACCTTTTGGCACCCTGTGCCTCTTTAGCTGCTGAAGATGAACATATGGATATATATATAGATCTTTATTTCAGATAAGAAATTTCGATTTGAGCCACAACTGTTCTATCTAATCAAATGCAAAAAAAAAGAACTCTCACAAAATCAAGCATCAAAATAAAACCAAGAAAAATCATATCCACATCCGCATTTGTCCCAACTGATCCAGACTTGCGTCGCAAGCTTTCAATCCCCGTGTAACAGCCTCCCAAACCGCCCTGACAGCATCACTGATCACATCATCTCTTCCTCCGTAGAATCTCACATGGTGATATCCTGCTGAATTCAGGTGACGTGGATTCCATTTCCACTTTTCATGCATGAGCTGATCCCTGAGCGCTAAGAGTCTGCGCTCCTGTATCGCAACAGGAACATTACGTCCAGTACGCGTTCTCCGGGCATCGATGCAAAAATGCAGCTGGAAGTCATTGTCATAATAAGGCACCAACTTGAAGGCATAGACGAAGAAGCAAAACACATTCCATTGCTGGAGATGGAATATACTCTCTGCGATTTCTGGCGGGAGATAGAGACTGTCCCTCTTGAATGAGCGATCATCGCTGAACCACACCAGGGTTTTGGAGAGACTGGACATTCGTAGATCTGGGCTTGGCCATGGGATTGATCTTGGATAACCTGAGGTTAGGTCCTGGATTGCACGCCCTAAGTTCTCTCGAGAGTTCAAGATAGAACGCCATGTCATGTCGTAACGTCGGAATACATCCTCGAGTGCATCCAATGAATACCACCTAATGTGGTTCGCACGGATGTTGTGATATGAACGAGAGCCGATGTCGTTCCAAGATGGTGGTCGATTGTTATTGGGATGGCTCGAAGGAGAGGACCGCTCTGCGAGACGGGGCAAGTCGCTCTCCAGTTTCTCCAAGATTGTTTTCAACTCCTGGTTAAGACGCTGAAACGACTGCCTTTCATGCTTGACGTTCGTAGCTTCCTCTTTCAGTTCTTGGGAAAGGTCTCTGATGGCGTCAACATCACTCTGTCTTGGAGTTTCTGCGTCGTTTTCGCCTGTCCTAGGAAATCTCCATTCAGAACATGACTTGCAGCGGGTGGCATGGTGCATAGAACAACAGCAACAACAGTCATTTGGAGCAGGCTCCGAATATGAGGCAGGAGTTCCAGCAGTTCGGTGTCTAATGCGCGTCGCCTCATCCTTAGAAGGCGAGGAAGAGGAAGAGGAAGCAGGCACTTCTAATCTGCAATGGTGTCTAGACGTTTCGTCCTCCTCAACAGTCGACACAGAAGAAGTTTCGACTTGATCGCTCCTATCGCTCCTATGGTCTTGTGTTTCTTCGGTTTGATCAACCTCTTCGACTGTTCCTGTAACCGTACGTCCAGTATCTGCGAATGCCTCCGAGAAACGGCGTGGCAGATCCCGCGTCTGACCTCCCAAGTCATCATATTCCCTGAAGGGGTCGTGGAATCCGCGAAGTCCGTTCCAGAGATTGTCGCCTGGAAAGCTTGGAACAGCATCGTTGCCGCTGAAGTCGTGGTATGTTTGGAAGCTAAGGCTACCAGGATCCGACCAGGGCCAATTCAAGTGATTATGAAACCTAATAGGCCATCCCCATGCTGTCAGACGGGGTATGGGCTGTGGTGAAAAAGATGGGGTTTGCTCAGTTTGAGAGGCTGATGGACCGTATTGAAATTCATAGGTAGACGGGAAGGCATCTGCCGGGGTGCTTAGATGCCAGCGAGGGCTCCGCTCACCATTGTATTGAAACATACCTGATCATGAGAATGAAATCCAATATTTTCTCAATTATAAAGAAAGTCTATGATAGGAAGTGGATGTGAGTAAATAGATAAATAAATACATGTAGACATAGATCCTCATATGGTGTAGATCATGTCTGCTTGCTTTCCAAAAGATAAGTTTGCCGCCTCACCCAAGTTCGGCACTCATACCTGCCCAAACAGCGGCAATTCACATGGTGCAACAGTTATTAAAGAATAAAAATCTGAGATGTAGGGAGAAATGGAAAAAAAGAAATATAACTACCCAAGGCATACCGGGTAGACACAGGGGACCAAGGGTGAGCATATGGTGCAGTCGATGTTTGCTGCTGCCGGATACCTACAGGGCGTAACACGAAGGACGAGATAGACACATAATCATACATAGGAAAGAAAAAGATGTTCTTGTAATCTCGGGGTATTCAATATCAGATTGCAGGTATCTTCACGTCAAGCCTCCAAACGCCTTGTACAATCAGGTCGCAATCTTATGTCAACATCATAGAGAGCCGCGTCGGAAGCGTCAATATATATCAGAAACTCGTTGAAACGTTCGCATGTTATAGGACGATCGTTGGTAATCAGTTCTTCGCAGTCTCGTCAGTACTGCCGCGGTTGAACCAGGAGACCCAGCTTCCTCGGTTTGCCTTCTTTCTGGCGGCCTCGTCTTCTTCGCTCTCTTTGTTTTCTTGAACGAGCCGGAGGGGTCGTAGTTTGTTCTGCGTCATGACAGCTCCAGGATAGTTGGTCATTCCTCCACTAATCGAGCGAGGAGGACTTGAGGTTCCCTCCGTAGAGCCAACGTCACCGTTTGACTCACTGGTTACGCTGTTAGATCCGCTCATTCTCTTCCGATCCGGTTGACTGGAAAGGGAGGGCGTGCGTGCACCAGCACTGCTGGACACGAAGCTCGCTCCCGAGAAGAGGCCGCTCTGGCGAGAACCTGGGCCCATCGTGGTTGGGCTGATCCCCGGGCTTATCGGACCACCAGAGGTGCTTCGACCGACACCACTGCCCCGATACATGTGTCCAACCACCGCGGCTGCAGCTCCATCGGCCTGGTCAGATCTAGTCCTGCGGTGACCATTTCGTGTAGACTGAGAACGACCAAGAGGAATGCTAGGGGCCGTCAACGGGTTCTCGTGAGGCGTGGGTCCCATGTACGGTGGCGGGACGAAGCTGCTAGGACGATGCCTGTGGTTCGGTTTATTATTGCCCTTAGGCGCAGGCGCAGGCGCGGGTGCAACGACAGATTTGGCTTTCTGCAAGAATGATGTCTGGGCAGCCTGATCATCCTTAGCCTGCGGGTTTTGGGGCTTAGGCGGAGGATCCTTTTCATCCTTGTCGAGGATTGATTCGAAACCTTCATGTTGCAACAGACGGCCTATGATTCTCTCAATGTAGAGAGACAAGGCCTTGTTCTGATCCTTGAGTGCCTTTACTTCAGCCTCAAGCTTCCTGGTATCACTGTCACCCCCCTCACCGACCGACTCCAGTTCGTCTGCAAGAGATCCCAAGTTGCTGCCGGCTTGTTTCGTGTCGGGAGCGGCGTCGTGCAAAAAGTCGCTCTTTGCAAAATCGCCATTGAGGGTCTTCTCGCTCAGTAGCAGCTGATAGCTTTCATTGTCTTCCATCAGGCGAGCGTTCGCCATTCTGGCTTCGAGAAGTTCTTTCTCCAATTCACGCTGGCGACCTCCTCCCATGTTTTCCATCTCGACGAGCTTGATCTGGGACTCAGCAAGCTCCAGACGCAGGGACTCGATTAGCTTGTCCTTCTGCAGGAGCAATTTAGAATTGTTTCGAGACGGGCTGCGCTCGATCTGAGTGGAGGGGGCAAACTGGCCGCTGTCCACATCGGGCGATGCACGATTCCGGAAACTTGCTGAGACAATGTCAGGATACTGTGAGTAGCGATGAGAGTCCGTCGTTGTTAACTTACAGGAACGCGACACGTTTCGCTCTCCCTCCGCATTGATGCGATCCTTTTGGGCTAGTGACTCTTTGAGACGCTGGATCGTCGCCTGTAGTTCTTCATCTCGACTAGCCTGCTGCTCCTTATCCTGCAGCATGGCGTTTCTCTCCGTTTCGTGAGCCTGCTCGAGGTCACGGATCTGTCGCGCATGTTCGCGGATCTCGTTGTCCAACGCTTCGATCTTGCTATCCTTTTCATGGACCTGATCCTCCAACTTCCCCTGTTCGCTGATCGCCTCGTCCAGACGCATCTGCAGAACCCCTAATTGCTTGCGGTATTGCTCCGACGCTGTCTCTGCCTTCTGCAGCTGTTCTTTCAGCTCCCCGATGAGCGCTGCATTTTGCGCTCGGGCGTCCTCCTCGGAAGGATCGTTTGTAACTCGCGGTACACTAGACATGCTGAGGTTCGATCGACCGGGCTTTCTGGCAGCAGCACGAGCAGAAACGGGAGATCCTCGAGTCGAAGGGGTACGATTTAAGCCGTTGGAGGCGGTGCTGGGTGATTTGGAGTGGCTCCGTGGCGTTGACCCATTCACTGAGTGACTCTCGGACGAGGATAAACGACTCGGATTGGCGGGAGTCCCCGGTTTTTTGGTTGTCGCAGACATCTCGATGGAGGGAACGATAAGCGCAACGTTCTTGGTCTCCTTTTTGCGATGCGACTGCAGTGGACCGATGGGAGCACCTGAAATGGACTGCGGCGGCCAGGCAACAACTGTCAAGAAATAATAAATTGATCTTTCAGTTTAAGGGGCCGGGGTGGAAACAAACGTCCGACAGGTGGTCCCGGCGGTTTGACGGGCTGCTTGGACTACGGTACTCCCAAGGGGGGCGTTTGTCACCCAGCGGCAAGGGAATGAAATTGCGATCGTTTTTTAACCACGGTCTGGCGTTACAGACAGGGTGAAGGCAACCAAATTGTTCCTGGGGAAGGCGACGGTGACCGCAAGAAAGATGATATGGGGGTAGCGTGTCTTTAATTAATCAACTACGGTAGCTTAAGAAGCACGGGCGTGATGGGGCTGTTGTTGTTCTCCGACTCCCGGATGCTAAATACAGCGCCAGCCTTCATTCCCCTGGGGGACAACACACATGCCAATGATAACGGTACACATTGTCATCCTGGGAAAGTGTCAATAATCCCCGAGCCACCGTGTTCGAGGCTGGCAGATACATAGTGCCTGGGGGGCTGTGCCACGACAACAGTTGTTGGACCTTTTAACCGTCACCGTCTCTGGCTGTTCTCAGTCCTGAGTCTGACCGCTAAGAGGCCGATCTTCCCCGTGATCTCGTTGCCCCAGGCACAGCGGCCAGACACGGTTGATTAGCTATGTGATTATGTCAGCCGGTCAGCTAAGGTCATGTGACAGGTTCATCAGATGAGTCAGACGGCCTGGGAAAATATTCATCCGAGAAATCCGCACACACAGCCGCTAGTGGAAAATATCCAGCAATTTTGACGAGCCAGAGTAGAACATCCCTCAACTCTCAGACAACAACCGGCCGGAGCGCACACTTTTTCATCAATCCTCATCTGAAGTCCAAGGAAGACTTCAATCGCGTCGAGATGGCCCCCAAGAAGAGCAAGAAGTCCGGTGACAACATCAACTCGCGCCTGGCGCTTGTGATGAAGTCCGGTAAGGGTACGTTATCGCAGACATCCTCTCCCACATTTTCAAATCGAGAATGGCATTGCTGACGGGGAGAACAGTCACCCTGGGCTACAAGTCTACCATCAAGACCCTCCGCTCCGGCAAGGCCAAGCTGGTCATCATTGCCGCCAACGCTCCTCCTCTCCGTAAGAGTGAGCTCGAGTACTACTCCATGCTGAGCAAGACCCCGGTCCACCACTTCTCCGGTAACAACGTACGTAAAATCTGCTGCCCGAGCATATGGCCATTGGCCGCCGGGCGCTCCCTGAGAAGAAGCCACAGCTCATGGCTTTGGAGGGTGACTTGTATCGCTAACTTCTTCCCCTACAGATTGAGCTCGGTACCGCCTGCGGTAAGCTCTTCCGCACTTCCACCATGGCCATCCTCGACCAGGGTGACTCCGACATCCTCACCGGTACCGTCTAGGTGTGATGATTCATGTTGCGACGCTGTGCCAGACGGCTTCAGACCGACGGCCTATGTTCAAATAATGAAATCAAAAATACCTATGTTCTACCAAATCGTGTCCTTCAATTCGTAACCACGTAATCTGTCCCTGATAGGGTTCCGTAGCATTTATCATCTATAGTAGACCTATACCTATATAATTATTATATAATAATTTAGCAAGCTTGAAGAATGCAGGAGTAAGAATGAAATTATTAAGCTGATCATAGAGATTTATCAGCGATCTACTTTCAATCGGACGATGCTCAGACTGCGGTTGGTCGTCAGTAAGCGGTAGCCGGCTAGTTAGGGTTTAGGGCTTTGCCACAGTGAGATCGTTAGCGGATTTGCTTGGAAATCAACCCGGGAGTGACTTCAATCGACCCTGTCCCTCTTCTTCTACCTCTCGACAACCACCTAATCGACAACTCCCACCGTTCGCAGGAAGTGCAGTTTCCCCATTTCCAGCAGACACCATGGCCCGCCGTCCCGCGAGATGTTACCGCTACTGCAAGAACAAGGTGCGTGAAGAAGAGAGAAGGAGATGGACGGAATTTTGATTTTCTGCCATTTTTGACGCTTCCTTCGGGTCAAATCGTCGAGGTTGTGGGGGCGCATCGCGTACGATCCTCGACGAGGACGCCAGAGAAGGAAGTGTCGTTACATGCTGGATGGGATTTTTTTTTTGTTCAATTCGATGAATTTTGAAGGATTGGGAGCTGACAGGACATGATGGATTAGCCCTACCCTAAGTCCCGGTTCAACCGTGGTGTTCCCGACCCCAAGATCCGTATCTTCGATCTGGGTCGTAAGAAGGCCAACGTTGACGAGTTCCCTCTGTGCGTGCACATGGTCTCCAACGAGTACGAGCAGCTGTCCTCCGAGGCTCTCGAGGCTGCCCGTATCTGTGCCAACAAGTACGATAAGCCGCGTCCCATCCCATGACCTCTTTTATCGGAGGAACGATCTTTTACTGACGCATTATCAATCAAAGGTACCTCGTCAAGGTCGCCGGTAAGGAAGGTTTCCACCTCCGTGTCCGTGCCCACCCCTTCCACGTCGTCCGTATCAACAAGATGTTGTCTTGCGCCGGAGCCGATCGTCTCCAGACCGGTATGCGTGGTGCCTTCGGTAAGCCCAACGGCTCCGTGGCTCGTGTGAACATTGGCCAGATCCTCCTGTCCGTCCGCACCCGTGACGCCAACCGTGCGACCGCCGTCGAGGCTCTCCGCCGCTCCATGTACAAGTTCCCTGGTCGCCAAAAGATCATCGTCTCCAAGAACTGGGGTTTCACTCCTCTCCGCCGCGAGGAGTACGTCCGCCTCCGCCAGGAGGGCCGTGTCAAGATCGACGGTGCCTACGTCCAGTTCCTCCGCAACCACGGCCGCGTCGAGGAGAACATCAAGCGCTTCCCCGAGGCCTACGAGAACGCTCAGGAGGCTTAAATTAGGGCGTGTTGACAGAAAATCGGATTTGCGTTTTCCTTCGAATCTATTTGATGTCTTTGTGTCCACGGGCGGAGTTGTTCACCTAGGTTTTTCCCGGCTTTTCAAGAACCCCAACTGGCAGTGATCGGAGGGGGCAGGTTGATTGGGATGAAGCACCATCTCGGTCGACTGGAACGGACCGGATACTAGAGAAAAGAAGGAGCGTTCTTCGCCTCTTGTCCTATCTATCCGCTGTAATGACCCCCAGAATATTTCGTGTGACGATATCCACACTGGGCAAAATGATGTATCTAGAATCCTGTCATGGGAACAGCTACCGTTCCAGAATAATCCAGCCCTCCAGTTCTGCCAGAAATTTGCATTTTCCGTAGCAATAGCAATCAGAGATAAAGCTTGACGTATCCGCCCACTTCACGCAAGAGAACTCATCCATTCAATTGAATTGATATCACCCTATCATAAAGTACAGTACAGTATAGTAGTAGTAATACAGCATTGAAAATATCCAGTATACTACTACACAATATCATACCATCCTAGTTCATCAGATGCAATCCAACCCACCGATGATAATACATATACACATACACTGATAATCAATCAATCAACTCGTAAACAGAAACACTTCATGCAATATGAACATGACACGAGTAATCAGCCTTCTAGAGGAATGTGAAATGAAATCGGTATTGTAGTACTGAGCAGGGGAAAAAAAAAGATAAGCAAGTATGCTTTCCTGATTGAAACATTGGGTTAATGTAATTAGTCGGTGTTATACATCGGATTGACTAGTAGGAAAGGAATGGAGATAATCATCTCATCTCTTGTGGGAGTTGGAAGGCGAACAGAGGGGCGGAGGAATTGGGAAGAGATCGATCATTTAGTATTCAATTGAGGTGGGCAAAAGATAAAGAGAAATAGTTATGATGCGATAATTGTATGAATGAAAGGAGTCACTTCCAACAGACCAACTGAGATCTAGTCAAGTATCTATCTAGATCAGATACAGAAAAAGAAAAAAGAGGGAACAAACAAAACACATTATACATTCGCTCGTGCCATCCCACTGATGCTTCCCCTAGACTGTGAGTGAACGCCGTACCGTACTCTGCTACTGCTCTTGAAGAATGAATCCCGAATCCCTGTGATATTATGTAACTTTGCATATCCATGTTATAAAAAAAAACTGCTCCAGCTTCCAAGACCAAACACTGACGCCGCCGTGATGATGAATGAGATGAAATATTCCGAAATGTACCTCACTGGTGATTATGGTATGAGTATTCTAAATTTATGAACGTATAAAAGGCCAGATAATATGCTCCCTGACATGGAAGGTAGAAAGAATGGAGATTAGCTGACTTGACGGCCGTTCAGACTTCACCCCAGGCGCCAATGCCGGCTGTCGATAATACTGCACTGCCGCTTCCGACGCTTCCTCCAATGTCCCAGTAATTCCGGCTAGAGCCACTTCCCAGACCAGCTAGGTTTCGTTTCGTTGAGACTTTGGTGCTCTGACTGGCACAGCTGGAACTTGGTCGACGGAAGCGGTGTTGCAGGATTGGGGAGGCGGTACCGGCAGGTCCAGCAGCGAGTCCGGAACTTGACTGTGTATGGAGATGGAGTTGGCGTTGGAATTGCGTCTGAGACCGCGCATGTGCACGAGCGACCAGCGGATGATGCTGGCGGATGATGGCAGCACGGTGGGATGGATCCTGAGCGCTGTACAAGCTTGAGTTTGCACGACGCCTCGAGGACGAATTAACGTTGTTGTTGTTGGTGTTGTTATTGCCGCGGCCAAAGCGGTTGCGAATATAGCGGAAAACCATCATGACATCAAGCTCTCGCTCCCAGTATTCATGCTCACGCTGCAGGCGCGCCGATTCCGACAAGGGCTCTTCTGAGCTGGCCGCAGGTGTCTTCGCCGTATCGCTGGGGTTCTCTTCCTCGATACCCCATAACGCAGCGTGTGCGTCCCCGGTGGCATCTGGAAGAGTCGGAGAGAAATGCGGCGAGTAAGTGGAAGAAACAAAGTTGGTGCTATCCTCCGATGTTGTCCTGGGGCCGGCCCGCGGCCGTATGCTTGACGAGCGATCTGCAGGTGAATTGACTGGCATTCCAGCATATTGGTTTGACATATCCTCCGAAGGTCGCAGATACGTGCTGAAAGCACCAGGATGTTCGTAAATCTGGTGAACAAGGATGCCTAGTTCGTGAGAGATACGGTTCAAGAGCTTTTCTTGCCACGACGCCATGCTGTCCGACCCGGAGCCTGCCTCCAGCATTATTCGATCCATCTCAAAGCGAGTCTGGGTTTGTGGGGTCCAATCGGCCTTCTCTTCGTGTTTCTCTTGGTGGGATTGTTGCTCAGTTTCCGGGATTGGCTCTCCCAATATGGCGGAGAGTAGCGGGTCATCGATTCCTATCAGGTCCCTAATGACCTTCCTCGTAATGCGGCGCCAGAAAGACTCTTCAGGGGCCGCATTTCGCTCGTGAGATGTAGGTTGATCTGTGGCGGAGCGTGTCTCACTCATTACTCGTGCTTCTGGGATTCCACTCATCGTGCTTGACCGGCGAGAATGGCCCCTTTCGCTATGCAGATTGGCGCGGCTGTTTCGCCGTCTCCTGGTCTCCCGCTCAACCTCCTGCAACAAAGCCCTGCTCTGTTCCATGCGCCAGTTTTCTATCCGTTGCCATCGTTCCCGATCCGGGTCGACGTCATCGAGTTCGTTCACCGTGTCCAGTTGTCTTTGTACACTTGATCTCCGTCTGGATAACAATTCCGGCCTACGACGCGGATTGAAGGACTCATACTGCCACAGGTGGTCTTGAACCGTTTCACTGGACGCCTGAAAAGTCCCCAGGCCATCGTGCGTTGGTAGAACTGCAGTATGGGTCTGGTCTACCCCCCCAGAAGGGAGTTCGGGCAGTGCGGGTTCCCGGAAGGCATGGAGCCCGTCGTCCAGGCTGTCCAGCTCTGTGCCCTCGTCCTCGAGGAGATCATCTTCATCGTCCACGTTCGAAGCAGTTGCCGTCCCCAGTGATCCAAAGTCACTCAAGCGGGACAGGCCAGCTGTCCGCGGGGTCCGCTCCGTGGAGTTTGTGTAGGTGTGGGTTGTCGAGGGGGCCTGAGACGGCGAGAAGAGCACCCATTCTCTGGCGTCGTCCTCTTGTTGCTGGGATGCAGCGGGGCGGTCCTCAAGGGCGGGTGCTTGCAACGAAGTCGAATATGATGCCAGGCGGCGTGGAGCCTGGGTTGGGACGCGGAATGCCATCGCCTGGAGGCAGACCGTGAGTCCGTGACGCTGTTAGATAAGGATGGTGCCAGCAGTTGTGACTGTCTCCAACTCTCGCACGCAGTCAGGACGAAAGTTGGTCAGGAAGAAATGGGGAGATCGATGATTCAGAGGGACAATATGTACTCGACCCCCTGCGCTCTGTTGGGCGACCAAAGAACCGGGGGGTCGCGGCGATACAGGAAAGGCGCGATTATGATAAGGATGGGGCGCTGCGATGCGCGGAGTCGCAGTAGCCGTGACGCTGCTGGAGCTAGTCTGGAGATCGCCCTTTTTTGGTATCAAACGCCGCCGTTTTTCAGTGCTGTACTCCAAAAAATGGTCTGAACTCCCCAGAGAATAGATGCCGGAGATGAAGGAGACAACAAGAAGACGTGCAGCCCAAGGGACATCCTGGGTCTTGCGCAGAGGGTGAGGTCCGACTCAGCCCGGGCGGTGACGAGATCGAGGTCTGCAGACACCGGGGCACGATATCGGACAGATCGTAAGATGTAGGGACTAGTAACTAACTTAAGCTGCAATCAATATTAATAACCAGATGACCGGGCTTTGGGGGTTCACGAACAAGTCGCTAGGGCGTTGTACTAGCAGAGAAGCGGACGAGATCTGGGCGGGGTTCGCTGTCCTTGCGCTGTCCTGAGCTGGTCATGGGGATCGTCCAAGCACGACACTTTGGCCCCCGGTATTGTCCGCTTCAGATCAGATCAGATCACATCAGATCGTCTCGTCTGGGAGAGGTACTGTAGCTTTGGAATTCTCTCTGCATTGGCGACAGTACTACGATTGATAAGTAACTACCAGATGACCCTTACCATGGGCAGCACAGGTGGCTCACAAAAGTCAATATGGAATGACTGCATGTTGATGTAGCCCGGGGTATAATTCATTCGTTTGGTTTGTTTAATAATAGAGTCACAGAATGATGAGTCGAGCCGGCCATTTTCGACCCCATTCAGCTCGATACTATTATTATTACCATACTCTACACACCCTGCCCAACAAAGGAACCTCTGTCAGGGAAGACGCCTATTCTCTGCAGGGGCATCAGTCATCGTTTCAGCTTGAAAGAAGGCTCCTACTATGACTCTCACGTCAAACTCGAATCAAGAAAGAAACATGGAATCTCGCCCGTACAACCCTTTTAGTTAATGACTGTAATATATTCTTCGTCGAGGAGAGGATCGCAACTTGCAGAATCGGATTCGGAATCGGCCTAAATTCGGAATGCAGACACTATATTCATCCCATCGTAAGACTCTGCTTATCTAGACTGCAGTAATAACACCTAATAATACTTCACGGTAGTTACTGACTACTACTGCAATGCTGCTTTCATCAACTCTGTGTACCCGCAGAATGGCCGTGGAATTTACTCAGCCAGTGGCGGTGGACATCCTTGATCCGACATCGGGTTTTTCTGCTAAGTTTACCCTATCTGAGACTCCAACAAGGCACAGAAGACGATCAACCACCGGAATAATCTGGAACGCCCTATGGCCATCCGACCTTGTGGCGTCATTGTTCCCTCTTTTTTTCCAGAATCCAGCAGGCTTTGTATTGTTCTGAACCAGTTTAAACTCGACCGGGAAATATGGTAGATACCATACTCTCGATTGTTGCAGCTGGACAAACCATATGGTACGTCCCTGGTCCACCCTCGCCAGGTATGATCAGCAGTATGGTATATACCATACTTACTGTAGTTATCGACGACAGCTGACTACGGGAAATTTCTCGTCATCCCATATAATTCCGGGCCCCTTGCGCAATGCGGCCAACATGAGCAACTATTATCAGATTCGACTGTGAATAAAATAAAATAAAATACACAATCAAGGCCATCAATAGATGTTTGATTCCATCTCGCTAGATTAACCAGCTTTTCCCCATCCCAAAACACCTTCGCGTGGCCTAGTTAGTTAGATCGGATGATGTCAAATGCGGAAACAATTACGTCGAATCCGGTATGAGATCACGTGTGGTGTACGAGTGAACCTCCGAATACGCCATCGCGATGATGATTAAGCGCGCTCTTCAGACGGTTCTGTCCCTCCTGATTGGGGATATTCACGGATTCATTACCTTGGTAAGGAAGTGAGAGATTAATTCACTGGTCAATGGGCCGATGCCTCCAATTACTGCCTCGCTGAGTCACAACTCTATAGTAAGTTAGTTAACATATTGCGTTGATAGGCAGCCAGAATGGAGAAGTAACTTGACTAACTGAAATAATTCTTACTAATCTCGGTATTTTGCTAAATAACCTTTTACTTTTTACTTCTTCCTGCAGGGATAATACTGGTAAGGATAGAGTCTGCTTACAGGGTTATGGCTGTTAAATAAGAATATACCACCGTCTTTATATAAGCTCAATGCCATCTTACTTTTGTGTGTATTTCCGCCAGTAAGATATCATTTACAGCTCTAGAAAGGAAGGCTAGGTCAGGTAACTGAATTCTTTTAGTATAGTTCAACTGTCCGCTCTGTAAAATACCTAGCAGATTGACGCTGCATAAAATAACGACATCCTTATATATACACTGCCTATAGTACTATCATATTAAGTAGACATTCAAAATAAGCACTGACTAGCCCTATTAACACCGATAATCAAGGGAAAGAAAAGCACATAAAATTTCCTATTACCATCTCGCCAAACTCAACACTACCGATATTCCGCACTTACGCCTTAAACAAAACCCCAATTCCCAACACCCATAGACTGCACATTTCTCCTAAACAGTATATAGAAGAGCTCATGATAGTTAGAAAACAACATACAAAAAGCAAAACAAAAAGGAACATCCCAACTCTCATTGGGATAGTTGTTTGTTCTCCGATAGGGGGAATCGAACCCCCGGCTGCTGTGTGAGAGACAGCGATGTTAGCCACTACACCATATCGGATGTGGATGAGGTTCATGTGGTCTTGTTTGATTCAATTGAGAAAGGAATTTTTTTTGTGTGCTATTGAAATCGGAACTTTGGTTATGTGGGTCCTGTGAAGCGTACTAGTCAGACATGGTCCGGGTTTCTGGATGTTAGTCCTGACTTGGAGAGATTGGTTTCGCTTACTACTGGGTTACTGTAGGGCTTGATTGTGTGGTGTAGTGATGGCTAGTTTTATTTGGATGAGTTGTTTTCCCCTTGATCTTTCAGCTACTAGTTATGTATGGTATTCTTTTGCGGAGACAAATTGGGTATACGGTATAGTTACAACCGGGATCATTATCAATGCTATTACTCCATGATTCCTCGCAATAAGCATCATTTACTGGGATAAAGAAGCATGTTATGAGGCCCTTGGATATCAAATAGTGCAATGCTTAACTCCAGAGTTCTACCGACCTACTGTCCCGCTAAAACTTCACCAACCCAGTCCATCTGCACAGCACTCACTCCTCGAGCGTAACTCCGATTTGTGAACACGAATTCGTTGTACATGATAGCTTCGACTTTCTTTCCAAACAGCACACTGGACGGGTGGATTGCAACGGTCTGGTTGCCCACAATGGTGCGGTAACTCCCGTCTGGGACGATACGGGCAGTGTTCGTAGCGAAGCCGGTGAGGAAGCTCTTGAGGATGAGAACGGGGTCGGGCTGGTCATTCGCGATTAAGGCGCATGTATTCGCGTCTGGTAGGAGTTTGGACTGTCTGCACTGTGCGGTGACTTGTTTACGGACGTCCTGGGTGGGTTGTTAGTTTCTCTGGCCTTGTCTCCCCCCTGCTCTGAATTACTGGGTACAAACATACCATGACAGATTGCATGGCTCGGTGTGAAACCATATGTCTTTCAGCCCATGCCTTTCGATCCGTATTTTCCGCCGCGTAGCCCTGGACAGTAGCCAACATAGTCAAGTGGTCTCCCTCTCTGCGGAACAGATCGCGCCTCGCTTTCTCTGCCTCTTCCTTCTTCTCTTCAGACGTCGTGTTCAAGAAGATGTTCTCCACGCTGAGACATGATATGATGTCAATGACGTCTAACAGACATTTGGGTCCGTTTTGCGCAGCTGCAAGCAGGACTCTTCCCAGCGGTGCTGTCAAAGGTAGCTTGGCGATCTGAAGTCCAATAGCGCTGATCTTTCCCGACTCTTCCAATGCTTGGATGTTGAAGAGTTGTAGAAGTGCCTTCTCAAGCGCCTCTCGAGGAGGTCTGGTCAAGAAGGGGAAGCCTACAATATCGTCGACACCTCGAGCTTTCATGGTGAGGATAGCCTGACTCAGATCGCAACGGAGAATCTCTGGGGTGTTTGTCTCTTGCAGTGCGAGATAATCCTTCTCCGTGTACAGCCTGTAGCACTGTCCTGGCGCTTCTCTTCCTGCTCGACCCTTTCGCTGGATCGCTGCGGACTTCGAAATGGGCTTGACTAACAGCGAGTCGAGGCCCAGACGAGTTCGGAATTGCTTCATTTTGGCTTTGCCGCAGTCGACAACAAACCGAATCCCCGAAATCGTAACGGAAGTTTCAGCGATGTTTGTTGACAAGATTATCTTTCTTGTTCGAGGAGGCGCTGGCTGGAAAACTCTTTGCTGTGCAGCTTGAGGAAGAGCAGCGAATAATGGTAGAACCTGCACCTTCGGTAGAGCAGGGTCCATCCCAATAGAATAGTCGTTGACAAGATACTCAAGCGCTTCCACAGTCTCTTGGCCTGTGAGGAAGACGAGGATATCACCCGGCAGGGGCTCCTTGCAGTGGATTTGGAATATGACCTTAAGTGCTGCGTCGACGAAATCATGGACTGGTTCAGGTGTGTAGATCGTTTTCACAGGGAATTGTCGACCCTTGATGTGACAAACTGCCACTTGACTTTGTTCGTCATCTCCCTTGGGGTCATGTTCATCGGAAGGACCACTCGAACCGTTGGTGCCCTCCGATCCAGCGCTCTTCGAATTATCAAATCCTTCCTTGAAAAATGACAGAAGGCTCTCCATATCCGCTGTAGCACTCATAGCAATGACTTTCAGCGGAACGCCTCCTCGTCCCTCTTTCTTTCCGGAAACAATGTTCCGCAAGAAACCTAAGACGAGATCCACGTTGACACCTCTTTCGTGAACTTCATCGACCAGCACAGCGCTGTATTTGGTCAACCATGGATCATGTAGCATCTCTTGCAAAAGCATTCCTTCAGTCAAATATTTGACCTTCGTACTGGGCGACGTGGACGTATCGAAACGGACTGAGTATCCCACTCTACTGGCCGGCGAAGATGATCCCAAGGGCGTTCCCATTTCATCCGCCACACGTCTCGCCAAAGAAATGGCAGCTACTCGTCTCGGTTGCGTGATTGCGATACATCCACCCACACTCACATCTTTCTGTTTCCCGTCTTCCGCCGTCACTTTGACGGTCTTCGGACGGCACCAGCTCTCATCGGCTAAGAACTGCGGAATCTGAGTACTCTTTCCGCTTCCTGTCTCACCGACAAGAAGCATCACATCGTTCTTCCTGAGCTGCTGACGGATCTCATCCGCGTGCGGGAAAATGGGTAATTTCTTCCGAATCTCATACAGTGCCTTGGCCTTCTCCCTTAGCGAAGATGATGGCTTTCCCTGTCTGATCACCTTCTGATCCTTTGCTTGATGTCTCTTCTTCGACTGGAAACCATTTGACACATCTTTCTCATCTTTCTTCTGGTCATTCTCTTGGGCTGGCGACGCAGCTTTTTTGGGCTTTTCTCCATCCCGGATGACCACTCGCTGGGTATTCGGCTGAGCCTCCGCAGTCTCTTCTCTCTTTCGCTTCTTATTCTTTTTCTGATGCGGCTCTTTCACTGAAGGTGCCGCAACAGATACCTGCTCCTCCTTCTGAGGACGAACGACAACCTTCCCCGTGTCATCATCCGAGTCCTCGAATCGGGTATGTACCTTTTCAGGCATTTTTGCGCCACTAACAGAATGCGCAAACCCGAAAAGAACACGGACTTGTTACGAATAGAACAATGAACAAAACAAATAATTAGACAAGACGAACAAAAAAAATCTAATTGCAAAGCACTAACATGCTGGGGGGTATCTGGATGGTAAAGGTTTGTTGTCTGGGGAAAAGCGAGAGAAAACCGCGGGCGAGGCTAAAGTTTTATGTTCGCCCCGAAATTTTTCTGCCAAACAACTTTAAGCTTATCGATAAGAAGCGGCCGAGTGACCCGCGCCAAGAATCGTTGGTTTTTCCGTGTATTGGAACGGATATTATTGTTTATTGAACAGCTGGGGTGGATTATATGCATCGTCGCTTTTCATATTATTACTGAAATATGGCTTATTTTCATGATTTTGTTTTTGGTGAGTGTAGGTTTATTATGGGGGTGCTTTCTGTCTTGTGTGGAACATAGTAATCTCGTTAACTCATCTCGAAACTGATCTTCGTTAATCTAGTATCTAATCTTAGAATCATTCTTTATCGTGCAATCATGTTGTTTTCCTCTCCGTCCAGGCAGTATATGTAGCTACTTGGTGGAATATGCACAGGCCATATTTATATGTGCGGCTCGAGGTCTCCAGACGTCATTGACTGTACGTGACCGACTGCCTCAACATACTTACATCTTTATGCGTATGTACTCATATATAACTAGCAGCGCCTCACCAACTACTTATTGTCCAGTCCCCAGCCACGGACACGTCTAAAGACAAACGCTCGGTCATTCCGCAGTCCGAATTCGGCCCAGTCGTCTGTCAACTTGTTGTAACTCCAGAACCCTTTCCATATCAGTTTTGTGTTCTTGGAGACGTTAGAAGGTGCCTGGTTCGGACCGCCAGGGCGGGAAGCAGTTGGAGAGCGAAGGGATAAATGCATCATATACGTGTATTTTGGGTCTACGCCTTCTGTTTCAATAACGAGATCGCGCGGATCGTGACCGATGCCAGTCGTCTGACCGGCTTTGTGCGAGTGAGCACTAGGCCTGGATCTTGACGGTTCACCGGTATCTGTATCTTCGGATGCAGTTTGAGTTGGGGGTGTCAAATGCCACCTGCCACGTAGAGCGTATTTCAGAGTCGCCATCGCCGTAGGGGGCACTGGATTGGTGGCAGCATCTCCAGATAGTGTGTTCCCAGAATCGGAAATATGCCTCTGATGGCGCTGGTGGGAAGCGGCTGCTCGGGCGGATATCACGTTCTCCTTGCTGATATGAGGAACCACATCAACAGGCTCGGTCGTGCTCAGCAAGGAAATAACCGTTCCGTCGCGGTAGAAGCGAAGGTATCGATAATAGGTCACAATATGGATCGGAGTGTTCCAAGACACCGTCGAGTAGGCGGACGCTGCTCCAGGTCGTGTGTAATTGACGGTGCTAATGTACACTCCAGTAAACCTGATCCTGGGAAATGTCTGGAAAACTTGACTCCACGTTGACAGTGGCTTCGGAATCTCGACAGGGCGGTCTCGAGGGAATGGAGTGTAGCGTGTCCCAAGCGTGTGGACCGGGTTTCCCGCAACATCACAAGCAAAAGAGTAGTGCATGCTCTCAAATCCAAACTCTGGCCCCTGGCACAGTCTCTTCCAGATATGTTGCTCGTGGGCAACATGGTAGGCAAGCCGCTTGCATACCAGGGCAAGGCGGGGCAGTAAGGCAGGATCCATCAGCGCAACGTGTCTTAAGATTTCCACGATGACCTCAGAGGGGACCTCGGAGATAGGGCACGGTGGTGGTGGAGTGTTCTCAATAAGCGGTTCTGCCTGTGGAATTTTCAGGTTTGCGAACGAAGCAATCAGCTCAGGAGTAGGCAGGGGATTGCCGTCCTCTTGTGTCACCGACGATGACTCTGGGACGACTGGAGCTTGGGAAGCAGCAGGCTGCGTTGGCTTCCAGGCATGGCCGAAATGCTTCTTCCGGTACGTCTTGTCGACGCTGGAGTCAAGCTGGTGGCACATCAGTATAGCACTGAAGCATCAAAGAAGGTTGTATGCCATACCCTATATGCCTTGCGATAATGACTTAGACTGTCTCCCAAACTTCCTTCAGCCTCCTTCTCCACTGCCTTCTCAAAGTGCTCCAGGGCAGAGCTTGGTTCCTTCTGAGGCAGTGACTGGAAACCGTCCTCATCTTCCCTTCCTAGACTCAATTTTTCGACTTTCTGAACAAACTCTGCATAGGAGTGCGATCGGGAATCCTCTTCCAGCAGGTCATCCTCCTTGCGGTCCGATGCTTCATGCCGTGTTGGGGGAAACCGTTCCGAAGACGGGGCTGCCTGGTCTTGGGGTTGCTGCTTCGTCTGTTGCCTTGTCCGGTGCGAAACCTCCTCGCGCCATTGGCGTCTGAAAGACTCGAGCTCTGCGTCGTCTGCCATCGTCGATTAGGTAGATAGTGGCGACAGAGTTAGAATTGATAGGACATGAGCCGGGGCGGTCAGAGAGGCCGATGGATGGAGATACCGCTCAACGACGGCGCGAAGAGGAGCAGAACAATCTCGATAGAGCTTCTGCCCTATTCCATCTCGGATCGACAAGACTTCCTGGAGTGAGCTGAGAGTCGTTATTCCGTATTATTATTCAACGGCGATCTGACTTAGGGTCCGCGACGGTCACGGGCTGAGCTGCTAATCTCCGAGCCCAAACCCGATCGGGCCAAGTGCCTCCGCGGAAACCGGTCAAGGCTGCGCTGACTGCATCATGATCTTCTTGCCGTCGAGAACGCAGGCGAAAAACATATTGCTCCATCCTTCTTCTTCGCGTCTACGCTCCAGCATCTGCGACTCGGTGATACATAACCTCTTCTAGTGAGTGAGGATTCGTCGGAACTCATTCGGACCTTCGACTTTCGACGGATGCATGTCCGCCGCTTGGCCTGACTCGACGGGCGCGGGCGCAGGCCGATACCGCTCGGACCTTGGGGGAACAGCACATGGATCTGGAAAGGGAGGCTGGAATTATCATGAAAGATCAACAATGGCTTCTCTATCGAGTAACGGGGGCCAGGAGTCCTTAGCAAGTGCTCCCCAGGAGGAGAACGAGAATATCTCAGCTACTCAGAGGATGATCTCTGCGACGTGGGGTAGTCTTCTCACGTCCCTTCTCGGTGCGTATACGAGAGCCACGGAAGACCTCGCAAGGTTCGCTAGGGTATGAACCAAATGCTAATAATTTCACGCGCAGTGACCCCTCTTGATGTTGTTCGTGTTCGACTCCAATCTCAGCCGAAGCAAAGTCGCGGATTCGCAGCACATTCTACCAGTGCGTTCAAAGAACTGCCTCCGAATCTTGGTGTCACGGCATGCTGTCGAGAAGTCTTTTGGGTTGGTGACAGCGCGCAGATGTGTATGGTAGGGCCCGGCGGTAGTACGATACAGGGAAGCTCTGCCATTATCCATGCGTGTGCCGTGGAAGAGACACAAAGACGGACATTTACTTCCACCTTCGATGGTTTGCGGAAGATTGCTCGGAACGAAGGGCTACTGACATTATGGCGAGGGCTCAGTCCAACTTTGGTAATGGCAATTCCAGCCAACGTGATCTACTTCACCGGGTATGACTGGCTACGCTCCGATCCCAAGAGCCCAATACCTCGATTCTTTGGAGACGTCTGGGCACCTTTAATCGCTGGTTCTGCTGCAAGGGTTGCTGCGGCTTCGGTAATCAGTCCTATAGAGATGTTCAAGACACGGCTTCAAGCTACCTCTGGCACCGGTGCCGACCACTTCAGGGCCACCCTGAAGGGCTTGCACCAGATGACTCAGACGACTGGTTACGGTTCACTCTGGCGCGGTTTGACACTGACGCTGTGGCGGGATGTACCATTTTCTGGACTCTACTGGTGGGGTTACGAGGAGGCTCGAAAGTCCCTGACCATCATGAGGACGAAAGCCCAGTCATCGTCCGACGACCGGAGCTACAAGGATTTGCAACTGCAGGAAAGCAACACGTCTACATTTGTGGACAGCTTTATTGCAGGTGCATCGTCAGGTGCATTTGCATCCTTCGTCACGACTCCGTTTGATGTTGGCAAGACGCGCCAGCAGATATTTAAGCACGGCGGCAACGAGACATTAACATCTGGCGCTGTCCCGACTACAGCCAAGGGTGTTGTCCATCCAGAGCAATTCCCCATGCTAAAGTTCCTCCTTCATATCTTCCGTGAAGAAGGTCTCTCGGGGCTCTTCCGCGGCTGGGTAGCTCGCTGTCTCAAAGTGGCGCCCGCATGCGCTATCATGATTTCCAGCTATGAAATTGGGAAGAAAATGGCGAGAGGAGTCAACGAGAGACACATCCCTGAGGGAGGAGAGGCCGCGTGATCGGCCGAGAAGACCCCTTCTGGACATTATCTTTTCTTTCTTTCAGTGATACCAAGCGTCTTCGATGCCGCCAGTGTCGGCTGTAATATCTATTGTCTGCAGAAGCTTGACTTATTTCTATCCTAAGTTTTGTTGCATTCTACCCTTTCGATTTGCATCTCTATATTGGCATTTCAGTCCAATAGAGCTATGTTTCATTTTTTGCATTGCGTGGTCCCGCCAACCTTTCTGGATTATCCTTCTTGTTTATGATACCGCGACGTTTTCACTCGACTGGAGATGCATTTATACGTTCGAAGAAAAGAAAAACTATAGACTGAAATTCTTTTCCTGTTCCGCATCGTTCTGGCCATGTACTGTACATAGTTCTTTCCCGACACTTTGGGTCAAGGCGACCTTGCCAAGCGACCAATCAAAAGCTCGGTGGTACTCCACTCAACCTCTCTTAGATCAGATATGATGGAATCTTCAGTCATCTGTTCTGCACTACATCTTGTGAGTATCTAGTTTATCTTCATCGCGATGAACAAATCATAGTGGAATTCTCACTCGAATCTAGATAATTGGAGAGTCTCTCGGTATAAAGCCTGCGCGCGCAACATGAGAAAAAAAAAAAAAAAAAAAGAACGTCCTATAATAAATACACGCTTCTATATGTATGTGCTTCCCCAATGAAAGGAATCGGAAGCTACACTTCATAACATTAGGTCATTCCATGAGCATCGCGCATATGCTCATCATATTTATCTTTGCGTCCAAAAGCCCTCCGGCATTGTCTGACAGGACACGCGAACGCATTTGGAAAGAGATGTTGGGTCTTGATGTGTCGCCAGAGTGTTGTATCGCGTGTGAAATCGCCAGCGTATGTGCAGCCTTCCCAGCGACATTTGACGCGGCCGGGATTGGTACTTTTTCAGAACGAGGACCGATGTTAGAAACGAGGGATTGAACATTAACTAAACGACTGGTAATAGATCAATTGACATACCCTGTCCCAGGCCTATGTTGACGACGAGACGGCACGTTTCCGTCAGTCATAGCGGCGTTATCATCCTTCTCGTCGAGTGGCGCTGAGGTGGGTATTTGAGGAGGATTGGGGTGATAGTTGTTCGAGGTCGAGTTATCATAACTCATTGAAGGGAGGCCTGGAAATCTGTTCTCCTCAACTAAGCCATGCTGCATTGTGTTCTCCCTGACCCATTCGGAAAAACCACTCTGATCAAACGGAGTCGATGTGGAAAGCGTATTGATGCTGGGATCATACAAGGTCTGCGGGACGCGCATATACTGATCAAGTATGTTGATATCTGCGAACGCTGTATTATACAATGCTCCCCCAAATAAGGTATCGAAGTTTTCTGAAGACCCAACCCCAGAGCAATTTGGTCCGGGTGGCGCGTGAGGGTTAGAAAGGGACATCGTGAAAGAGATGGAATGGGAGGTATACGAGCGATCGCGAAAAAGACAAGTCCCCCAGCAACAATAAGAAGTATAAGAGCTTATTAGAAAGTGTGTAAAGGAAGCTGTCAATGCCTGGAAAAGTCTTGCGATCGTAGAGAGAATATGCAGAAGAAAGGAGGAATGCCATGGCGTTTATATATATAACATCCTCCGGCAGATATTCCAGCCTCATTGCTCTACTCAATCTTTGAGATGAGCATACTCCAGATCAATCGTGGGATTCGTGGCGCAACGCTAGTGTAACCCGGGAGCCCTAAAGCCGACCGGTAGCTGGTACCTGTTATTTATTTCAGTGATTCTGACATCTCTCCTTTTTTCAAAATTCAAAACGCATAGACTATGCAGGGGGCGCGCTAAAAATTAAGTATAAAGGTAAGCGAGGAGATTCAGCTAGTAGAGAGCAGGACTTTTCGCATGTTGATTCTTTTTTAGTATAGCGGTGGTTTTTTGAATCTCAAAATTTCATGAGATTTCGGTGTAAATTTCGCAAATGAAAAATGTGAGAAATTTGAAATATCAATTACCAGGTCCTTGTGCTTAGTCACAGTCAGTTATATCAGTTTACCCTGCAAGTGCAAGTGCAAGTGCAAGTGCAGGCCCTTAAGAATAATCTGCATATTGTTTTTTTATTGGATGGAGTTCAAAGAAACCATGTAAGTAGGTAGTTAGCCTTAGACTGAGATGGGGTACTGTAGGCCTATTGGTACATATTGCTTTAGCGTTTGCACAGCCGCAATCACCTTCATGTCCATTGGCTCTAGTCAACCAAGCTGCCATGCAATGGCCCATCTAACCTGCCGCCGTTTACTCCCCGTAGAGATCTTCCCCCTTATTAATTTACAAGGTGGACCTATGCGCAATTGAGCGTTAGCATAATTCCCTGCCGACCGGATCACTCGTCCTGGCAGATCAGTGCCGTATTATATATAATATAGCCTTAAAAAAAATAAAACAAAACAAAACCAGGATATCTCAACAACTAAGCATCTAAAAGTTATTGGAACAAATATGTATAAGATATATATTGTTAAAATTGTATACATTTAGTTATGGCACCAACCTGCTTGGGCGGGTGATCCAGTCGGCAGGGAATTCCGTTAATGCGTATTGCACGCACATATCAAATCTGCAAGTCCGTTTGGGATTTCTTTCTTGGATATGCTCAGTTAGATTTACTTCCAACAAGCGGCTTTAAGCGAGTAGAAATATAGCTAATGCACTACCTTAAACTACCTACCATATCTCATTACAATATTTGATCAAGATGGTCGCTAACATATGCGCAGACAAACTGCCTAAGTATATCATGACGGAGCCGGAACGGGCGCGAAAAGGGTGAATCCAGGACAGCAGATCCCTATAAGACGCAGCACTGTGGCCCAATATATTCCCACTATACTGATAAATCTGTATTTGAGTTGCAAAGGGCCTATAAATAAAGATGGATTCAGGCACCCCGACCATAGCAAAACCAAGCCTCGGTACCTGTCGAGGCAAACATATATACATAGTTCTATGAAACAGCCACACAATATACCATCCGCAGATAAGTCGTGTCAGCTGCGGAGAGGGCGCTGGAAGCTGCACCAATAAGCAAAAGGACCGCCGATGACGCTGAGCCCGTAAGATGCGACTTCCAAGTTCCCCGGCATGTCATCCTTTAGTTTATCACGTCCGGTTCTAGAATAGGCGTAGTCGTCTTAGTAGTATTAGTACGGAGTACATATGTCAGATACAGGCAGACGAAAGTGGAGGGTCGTTCTTTTTGGTGTAGTTGATCTATGGTAGCGCCAATACTCTGTAGTATGGTCGGCTAATCTGCGTACACTGGAATCTTGGCACTAACCAACCCGCCAGGACGGTTAAGGAACCTAGGTACCCGGGTAGGTGTTATCTCAGCAAGCTCAGACCCTCTAGCGAGGTGCCCCCCCTGTGGGTGGGCTTTTTACTGCGACGGCCTGTATAAGCATATATACTAAAGAATTGAGCCAATAATATAGTATAAAAGCAATTTATTAACTCTTAGATTAATAGCAGGCTATATAATAAAAAACCTTATAAAGGGTTTAAAAATAAATAATTGTGTTTTATAAGGGTTATTTAATTATCCCTATATAAAAATTAAGTATTAATCTTTAACTTAATACTTTATACCCTAAATTACCTCTTTTTGGGTTAAAAATAGGCTTAATTAATTTATTTTAATCTCCTGCTTTTCTAATAGTTAATATAAAGTCTTAATTTTATATAAAAATCTTATAAGAGTAGCATTTATAACTGCTATTATCTAATATATCTTTAAACTATTTATCCTCGCCTCTTATAGGGCTTATCTCGCTAAATAATTTTATAATTAATAGAGATAAACTTAGGAAGAGTTATAATAAGATTATCAAGGTGCGGGCTTAGGAAGTAGGTTAGAACGAATAGAATAAGGTAGTTAATACTAGGACTAGCTACAGGATCTCTATCTAGCTGATTCAGACTAGAATAGGCTATTGCAGGCAGGCTTAATAAATAAGATATAGCTTAAAAAGTTTAAATTCAGATTAAGCTATATATTAAAAATATTTTTATAAGATTATATAACTTCTTATATAATCCCCTATACTAGCACTATAATAATATTCCCCTTCTTAAGGTTAAGCTCTATTAAGACTATCTCTAAGCTTTAGCTTATTTAGATAGTAATAATAGAAATTTATAATAATTTTTTAGATATATTATAAATAGTATACAGGCTTTTTAATTAGGTTATTATAGCCTAATTACTTAATAATATATTATAGTTAGGGGCCTTTATACTTATAGTATTCTTATTAAGAGTTTAAGATATTTTTAATAACCTATTTCTTAAGGCTATTAATTTTAATAGGTAGTAATAAAGGTTATTTTTATTTAGGCATAGGGTCTTTAATAATAGGGCGAAGCAGGCTGATATTAAATATAGGATAAATATATATTAAAGCAGATAGGTTAAATTAATAGATATATAGGCTAATAACTTTAGTAATATAGAATAAGCTAAGATTCTTTTAATTAAGTTTCTTTTAGGGGCGCTAAGTATAGATATTCTAGGTATTTAATTAAATAGACTATTCTATATAATAGCAGCAGGCTAGGGTTTAATAATAGTTAGTCTATTCTTTATAATAGGCTTAAGCGGTATAAATCTGGGTATAGATATAATCTATAATATCTTATATCTTTTTAATAAAGGCTTTAATATTTTTAATAGCAGGCTGGTTTATAGGCTAAATAGGTTTAAATCTTATATATAGATAGAACCTATAATTAGTAAAGAAGGGTAATATTTTAGTAGTTTTAGAATAGTGGGAGTTTAATATAAACTTAGCTAGAGGTAGCTAGTTAACCTAATTATCTTATAGATAGCTAATATAGGCACACAGGTATTATTCTAGGATAATATTTATTCTTTTAATCTAATTATTAGTTTTAGAATAATAGGCAATAAATAGTAGGTTTATAATATCTAAATATTAGATTAGGTATTTTTAGAAAGCAGTAATAAATTAGGGGCTTTAATTAGATATTATAGTCTTTAGTAGCCTATAAAGCTTCTATATATAGTAGATATATAATTATGCTACTCTTTTAGTATTGCAGATAGTTTAGTAAGGAATAAAATGCCTTATCTTTATAAATTAGTCTATAGTAACTAATATAATATTATAACCTTAGCAAGGTATAAGTCTAATAATAAAATCTATTAAAATATCTTATTAAGAATATTTAGAAATAAGAAATTAGTATAAGACTCTTTAGCAGCCTTTATTTAAAGATATAATATAGTAATAGATATAGCAATTCTGGGTTTAGCAATTTATATATTAGTATATATTTAGCTAGTAATACTCTTATAAAATTAGATTATAAAGCTTATATTTTCTAAGGTATTTAAATATATACTTATTGTAGTATTCTTATAATAAGCGGGCTCTTAGCTTATTATAGTTAGGAATATATAGATAATTTTTATAGTATAAATATCTTTCTCTTTATTAATAATTAGCTAATATAATCTTAGGATAATAATTAGTTTTATAATCTAAGGCTTATAAGATAGACTATATTAAGTTATTAAATAGGTAAGCTATATTTAGCAGGTTTTTAATACTAGATAAGTATTTTAGTTTATTAAGTATAGCAGGGGAACTTAATTAGTCTTATTTAATAGGCTAGGCTATTTTTTTAATAGGCTAAATAATCTCTTTAATAGACTAGATTATCTTCTTAGCAGGTTAAATAATTTTAATAAACTGGTCGGGCAGCAAAATAGACTAAATAGGTTCTCTAGGCTAAATAGATTAATATCTTAAAGTAAATTAGGCAGATATTCTTATAGGTTTAATAAGATTTCTAACTTCTTAAGCTATTAAATTAATAAAATAAATGTGCTTTATTATTTAATTTCTAGTAATAGCTTTTAATTTTAGAGATCTCTAAATCTATAAGTTAAGGTTTTTCTTCTTTAAGACTGTCTAGCTCTAATACTATAGCTATTTATCCCCTTTTTTAAGAAGATCTTCTAACCTTTTAGTTAGGGTATTAGGTTTTATTTTTTACTTTCTGGGTTAATATATAATTTAGAAGTTAAACTAGGATAGAAATTTAGACTAATAGGCCTATTACTAGTTTAGCAGTTTAGTTAATATAAAATATTTTAGATTATAATAGTCTGTAATAACTTTAATTAGCAATAGTATATCTTTAAGCTTAGGGTATTATTCTTTAAAGCAGCAGATAATTACTAATAGTTTTTTATTATAAATCTTATAATTATATTTTATAGCAGAGAGCTTTTTTAAGAAAAATATAATAAGATATAGGATTCCTTTATTATTATACTAGGATATAACTCTAGCTAATATATAGTTAAATAAATTAGTTTTAATTATAACCTTATAGATCTAGTTAAATAGCTTTAAGATTAGGGCTTAAATAAATATTTCTTTTAGGGCTTTAAAACTAGACTAATAGATAAATATCTAATTAAAGGGAATTCTCTTCTAGGTTAAGCTTATAAGTAGTATAATTATCTTAGAAAAGTTATAAATAAACTAATAGTAAAAGTTGCCAAATCTAATAAA